TCCCCAGTCCCTCCACGTCCGGGGACGGTCTCCACCCCAGTCCTCTCTCGTCCCTGGACCGGGAAGACCCTCCTCCCTTCCGTCCCTCTGTACACTTCTCGGGATCCCCGCCTTCCCGCAGCCGGGACCCTTGAGCCCCTCGGATCCGGCCACTTCCCCCTACTTTTGTCCTTAGCCAAAGCTCCCACCCCCCGGCCGCCGCCCACCAGCCCCCTCCTCCTCTGGACCCTGGATCCCTGCCCACTGCGATACTTTTCTGAGACCCCCAGCAACGCCTAGCTCCGGCCCCACCTCTGTGTTCTAGATTCTGAGCCCTTCTAATCTCATCCCCAAAAACCCTTTGCCCCCAGACACCGTCACTTTAAAAGTGCAGCCCCCTCCCCACCTGCTATCTTCCTATCCATCTTTCCACAGAACCAGAACCGTCGCCCATCAGCCCTGGGCCTGGACCCCTCTGGGCTTCCCCACCCCCACTCCACTTTGAGCCCCCTTCCGTCTTCCATTCCCTTCCCCACCCCCACCCTTCACTACCAAGAACTAGGTCTTCTTCATGGACCCCTCCTAGCTCCTCTGGGACCAAAGCAACCCACGTCTGGGAAGCCCACCGCCCCCTTCCACCCACCCCACCTGGGAGGGTGGATGGCTTAGGGGTGGGGGACTTCTTGCAGAGAGCTGTAGGCACTGGGGGAATCTTGGAGGTGTGTGCAGCGTGTGGGGGCTGGGGCGCCTCTGCGTGCGTCGTGGGCTTCTGGGAGAGTTGTGGGTGTGTTTCTGTGTGTGTGCGAGTGTGTACATGTGTGCCACCCACCCCTGCGAGCATGAGGAGCCTGGATTCCCTCTCTCCCTCTCTCCTCTTCTATGCTTCTGCAACCCATAGTCAGGTCTGGGTGGGGAGGGCTGGACAGAGCAGGGGGAGCTCTCGTGCCCCCAAACACACACACTCACACACAGCAAGACATACACTTGCACAGCTGTCCTCTCTCAGGACCCCAGCAGAGTACACAGCTGAAAGTCCTGAAAGGCTGAGGCCCCACAGACTCAGGCCTGCCTTTGCCCAGGCCCGTCTTGCCTCCTCTCCTGCAGCAGTGATGGAAGTGGGCTCCGAGTCCTCCTCAAGCTGGCCCTCTGCGGACTCTGAGCCTCCATGTCCTCCTCTGCGAGGTGGAGCGAGAGAGTGGGGTGTTGCTCTTGCAGACCCCTGGAGCCAGTGCCACCAGATGTCAGCAGTGGCCATGTCATTCATTGTTGAACACTCAGGCTTTGGGGGAACCTGGGGGTACCCAGGTTGGGACCCCAGCTTCGAGGAACTTTCCCAGTTAGGAGCAGGGGTGTGGGGTTCCCAGGCTGGGTATGCCTGGATGATCTGATAACTGCTGCCCCTTCTACCTGAGTCAGGGCACCCAGGACTCAGGGTCCAGCCAGGGGGAGGGCAACGTTTGGGAAGCCCTTCCTGAGCTGCAGCTTTAGCCTGACCACCCAGGTGCCTGGTAATGGCCAAGAGTGCCTCTGCCCCATTGCTTGCAGGGATATGGGGTGTGGAGGGCCATCTGTCCTTTGCCCCAGGGCAAGGACCAAAGATGGGATGGTTAAAGAGAGTAGTACTTCCTGCATGGTTTACCTCCTCCCAGTCACACCTCCCTGGTGTCTGGGAAAACATGGGGGAGCCTGTTGCTGCCCCTCCCTGGGCCTCAGTTTCCTCCTTGCTAAAATAAGCCAATTAAGACTGGGGTGGGAGCCACTTCATGCCCTGGGGTCTTCTCAGACTTTAATGTGCTGGGGAATTAATCCCCTGGGGGCCTAGTTAAAATGCAGATTCTGATTCAGTGGGTCTGGGGTGCATTTCTAACAAGCTCCCAGGTGAGATGCCACAGAACCTCAAGCCTCTACGAATAGCAAGGTCTTAGCACACAGGCATCAACACTGATGGTACCTGGGAAGCTTTAAAAATGCTGTTACCTGGCTCTGTCCCAGAGAGGCTGATCTTGTTGCCCTGGGGTGTGGCATCGGCTTGGGAGTGGGGGTGGGGAGTCCATGCTCCTCAAGCTCCGCAGGCAATTGTCCTGTGATGGAAGGAGAGGAACGGCTGCCCTAGAGCCCCATCTGGGCTCCAGCCCCGATCACAAAGCACCCACCTAACCTTGAGGGATGCAGAATGGCCTGCCCCAGGTATGCACATGTCACTGGAAAGGCCAGGGAAGGAGTTACCTTGTCCCCAAGTTCAGGCTGGGGTTGGGTAGCCTGCTCTCCCATCCCTGCCTGATGCAGCTAGAACCTGTCTGCAGCTGGTTTCCTGGGTCCTGGCTCCTGCTTCTCCCCCACCCCAAGAGTAATGCAGTCCAGCCCTTAGCCGGTCCCCTCGCCAGGCATCTTGGGCACCTCCCTTCAGACTTAAGCCAGCCTCCCTGGGAAAACCCACGGAGTGTGGAGGAGCGCGGTGGTAAAGGCTGTGGCTGTACATGGGACACAAACACCAAGTGAGCTTGTGTGCGACTGAGCGTTGGGCCGTGGGCGAAGCTGCGTGGAGCGATGGCCGTGGACGTGCACCTGCAGGGATGGGCGTGGGTGTGAGCGTGCAGGCGCACATGTGTGTCTGTCGCTGTGGCTGTGCGCAGGCTGGCGGCACAGGAGGGAACAGTGGCTGCTTCAGCTGCGGGCGGCTGGGAGGGCCTCTGTCTGAAACGTCCCTCCCCCGCCCTGGATTCCAGCCCAAGGGTCTCCTTCCCTGGAGCGGGAGGGTGGGAATCTCAGCTGTCCCAGGCCCAGAGTTGCTCTTGGGAGAGGAGAGGGATCTCTGTACTGGGTCAGGTCAGAAGCTGTAGGAGGGTGCCTGCCCCTCCCCAGCCCAGAGCTGACTCGACCTCTCTTCTCTGCAGATTTTCCGCCGTGCGGACAAAAATGGTGAGTTACCCTCTGCTGACCAAGGACCTGGCTCTTTCCATCCAGACACTTCAGGGGGAAAGGATCAGGGGGTAGGAGACATGGGCAACCTTGAACCTAAAGCTTAAGAGCACAGGACTCCGAAATCAGAAGGCCAAATCCTGGCGCTGCCCTGTGCCTCAGTTTCTCAGTAAGATGGGAATCATAACAGCTCCTACATGGTAGGGATGCCGATTCAGCGAGCTGGTTCTGCGACGCCAAGAACGGGGCCTTGCCCAGTAGGTGCCTGGTGTGCTTTATCCTCCATGTAGCTGGGCTGGACCACGGTGGGCCAGGGTGGGGCCCAGAGACCACCCTTTAAAGGAAGCCCCCAGCCTCCCTTTAGGCCCTCCATAGGCCTTGGTGCACTTCCTCCTCATAAGCGACCCGGTGCAGTTGGTGCTGTTGCCCCATTTTATCCACGCAGTGGTGGGCCAGAGAGGTTAAGTGACTTGCCCCAGGGTTGCCCAGCTGCGTGAAGGAAGCTGAGGCCCTCCTGCAGATCCCCAGCCCTTCTCTCATCTCTCTCAGCCTCCCTAACCCTGTGAGCAGCACATCATCATGGCCAAGGGGTCTGGGCACTCCACTCCTCCTGACTTCTTGAAAAGGCTCCACTCACCGGAGGAAGGCTAGGGGCTTGAGAATAAGGATGTTTACAAAGGCACATCCGAGCCTCACAGTGGAGATGAATAAAATCACAAAAAAACGTTATAAGTTATTATAAATACCATAGTTGTCATCGGGCTCAATGCAACTCTTTGTGGATTTTAACCAAGGCAGGTGTCACCTCCAGCCTCAGTTTCCCCATCTGTAAAGTAGGATGATAACACTTGCCCTGCCCCATTCCCTGGGCTTTTGGGAAAATCCAGGGAGGAGATGTGGGTGACAGACGTTTTTAAAGAGAATCAAGAGGTGCTCCGTGTTTGTTTCTTCATTCACTGAGAAAATACCCGTTGAGTCCCTCGAGTCCCAAGCCTGTGCTGGGGAAAGAGTAGGAAACAGAGACCCTGTCACCTGCCCCGCCCCCTGCTCCCCAGGTGCTGGGTCCCAGCACCTCCAGTTCTGGTTCCTGTCCTGCGCAGCTGGAGTTCAGAGTGGCAGCTCTGGCCTGGGCCCCCAGCACCCTGCTTCGTCCCTGGGGTTACTGTTGGATTGCCCCCAGTGGCTGTTGGGGGATGAAATGGGAGGCTTTGGGGATGGGAGGGCAGGTGTTCGGGTCCAGGCTGGAATTGCCTGGGGGTGATGGCGACCCTCCTAGGCCTCTGGGGTGAAGCACCATCAACAGCCATTCTGTAGGAGCAGGAGGAAGGAGGGGGATGCAGGGGAGATTAAGTGTCACTCGAAAAAACAGTAGTAGCACCGTGACCTAAAACACCTTAAAGATGAGCTGACAGGGGTCCCGGGGCCTATCCGCTTATGTGGGGTGGCAAGATCCTTGCCCGTGTGCTGGCCAGGCTCCTCCAGCAGGTTGTGAGGTCTTTACGGGTAGGGCTTTGGGCTTGTCCCCTGTCCTGGGTCCTCAGTAAACATCTGTACAGTTGATGGATTCACTCTCCCCACCTGCTACAGAGTGTGCATGTGCCTCTGTAACTGCTGCCGTGGACCTGAGCGTGTTGCACGTGTGTGTGCACATGTGGCTCTCTGTGCGGCTCCTTAGGTGCCATTGCAGTGTGTACGAGTGGGTGGGAGGCGCCACGTTTCCTTTCTCCCCCTGAGCACAGCTGTGGGGATCCTCAATTTCACTCCTGTGGCCCCCACAGAGGCTGAGCCCACCCCTCCCCCATAGGTCTTCAGTCCCCCCAGCCACCACTACATGGCCATGGGGGGCTGTCACCAGGGTTACTGTGGGTGTGAGATGCCGGTTGCCGTGGGAGGTGAGGCTGGGCCCCTCCTCTGTCCCCTCTGGAGCCTGACTGCCTGAGTTCACGTCTTGACTCGGTCTCTTACCAGTGCTGACCTCAGGCAAGCCCCCAAACTCCTGGGCCTCAGTTTCCCCATCTGTAAACAGGAATGATAATAGCAGAACCTACCTAGAGCGCTGTCTGAGGGTAGAGAGTTGAGCTCCTGGCTTGGAATAAATCAGTTGATAGGCATTGAATGCCTTGGCAAATGCCTGTTCCGGGCTTCTGCTAGCTTGGCTTGTCAATGGGTGTTTGATTTCTACCCTGTGCTCAGCGGGGAGCTGACCATCTGGGGGTGCTGCCAGCAGTCATTAACCATCTATCATGCACCAAGACTTAAATGGACTTTCTCCTCAGATCTTCACTATGATGCTGCTGGGATAGGAAGTCTCAGCCCTCCCCGCTTTTTCCAGAAGACAAAAACAAGGTTTGGAGAGGGCAGGTGATGTTTTTCAGGTGATCAGGGGCAGTGGTTCTGATTCAACCCAGCAGTTTGAAAGCGTTGTGTAGGTGTGGGTATGGGAGTGGGCATGGAGCAGCTCTGGAAACAGGCGTGCGTGCAGGTGTGAGGACAGGTGTATGGAGGAGTGGGTACAGCTGCAGACAGGTATCCATGCACATGGGCACATGAGCACACACTCATCATTGTTTAACACAAGCCAATGCTGGCCCCATCTGAGCATCCAGGGGTGGACTGAGAGGAGCCTCGGGGATGGCAGATGCGAGTGTGGTCTCAAACTGGGCCCCAGGCTGCGGGTTGCAGCTACAGAGATTACAGTGCAAAAGCTCAGGCCTGTCCCATTGTGGAGGCTGTGGTGGACACAGGACATGCAGTCCTGATGGGGAGGTTAGAGCGAGGGGCTAGCCTGGCAGCCTGGTATATAAGCCCAGAAGGGCAGCATGTGGCGGCTGGCAAAGGGGTGCAGACTGTGTTTCTCTCCAGGGACAGGGATGCTAACAGGCTCTTGGCATTTGAAAGGTCACAGTGACAGGCTGAGCTCGTGCTAATTAGCACAGACACCTGCAAATGCCCCACTCGGGTCTCTGCCGGAAGTGGAGGTGCCAGGCCCACTTGGCTCCTCTAATTGGACCAGAGGCCTGGGCAGGGGATGTTTTTCCTTCATTAGCCAATATGAGTTCATTAGGCCTGTGGTGGGACATTCAAGGTAAATGTCAGCTGAGAAGGCTTTGTGATGAGGGGACCTAGTGGGCCTCTCTGCCTGTTGTCCCTGGGTGCAGAGGGGACTGAGGTGCCTAGACAGGCAGAGGAGATGGAGGCAGCCAGAGAGAGGCTGGGGGGTGGGGCTGGCTGGGATTCCCTGTCCCTCACCAAAACGGGTGGGGGGTGTGTGCTGCGTTGGACTCAGGAGTCAGATGGCCCGATTCAAACTCCAGCTGTAGGGCCGGCCCGGTGGCGCACTGGAGAGTGTGCCACTTGGGAGTGCGGCGGCGCTCCCGCCAAAGGTTCGGATCCCATGTGGAGACCGGTTCCCGCTCACTGGCTGAGCATGGTGCGGGTGCAACACCGAGGGTTGCGATCCCGTTGCCGGTCAGTAAAAAAGACAAAAAGGAAAAAAAAAACAAAAAAACAAACTCCAGCTGTAGGACCTGGGCAAGTCTCCCAATGGCTCTGTGCCTCAGTTTACCCCTCTGTAAAATATGGGTAATAGTACTACCAACATCATGGGTGTTACGAAGACTAAACGAGTGATCACGTGGAAAGAGCCCCATGTATTGATTGCTATTCTGTGACGGGACTCCTGGTTATCTTCAGCCTTGCCAAAGAAACTTGAGAAGTCTCCTGTGTCCCAGAATACAAAGAGGCAAAACTTGGATTTCATGTATCTCACAGCTGATTTTGTGGATTTTCATGGTTGGTTTTGGGGTCTTCTGTTTATGTATGTGGGGTTGCTTTGGTGGCTTTTTTTTTTTTTTTGGTCTTGTTTTTGAAAGTTGCAATGCTCTCTCCCTCTGTTACCTTGAAACTTGGGCCAGGATGTCGGAGTTATATCGGGATGTTGCCCTAGCCACCCATGCACACACACGTTCATATTCTCTCTCTCCCAGCCCCTGATACTTCATGCCTTACGGGTCCAGAGAGAAATCATGTGGAGTGAAACCACAGCCAGGTCTGAGAACCCCGCTCTCCTGAGCTTGTGCTCTTTCCTTACTTCGAACCCGGGCAGAGCTGCTGGGAGTAAAAACAGAAGCGCTAGAGCCTTAAAGTTTAATGGCTTTCGGTCTGAACCCATATAGGTCTGGCGTGTGTGGTTGGGTGGGTTGTGCCCTGCACTAGGGTACACACATGAGGGAATGGAAGGCCCCAAATCCAGGCTGCATTCCACTCCCAGCCCACGTGCCCTGACGCTGGGCTCCATTGCCCCCACTGCAGGAAGGCACATCTCTTTCTAATCTGCACGAAAGTGCCATGTGGACTCGCAGGGGTCCCTGTCCCAAGCACCTGGCCGTGATTGCAGACTCTCTGGAAGTAAAGGAAGGGGTCCATGTAGAAAGGGTGGGGCCAGGAAATGCTGTCATGGGTTAACCCTTCTCCCTGACCTCCACTGCCTCTCACAGACATAGTTTCCCTTCAGGAGGAGCACATGTGATTTTCTTAGATCCTTGGGGACAGGGTGGTAGCTGCAGGATGGGAGTGGGGGTGGGGGTTGGCTTGCTGGAGTTTGCTCAGCAGGTTTGTCCAGGTGGGAGAAGCTGAGGGTAGAAGCTTGGGGACTGCTTTTCCTGGAGTCACTGATCTGCTCGAGCCACCTCCCTCAGTGGCCCAATCTGACCCGAACGCAGAAGACCTTCCTAGTAGGGCCCAAAGTGTCCCCAGCGATACTGGTGCCCAGAGCAACCACAGATGGAGAGAGAGGGAGCAAGAGGAACAGGGGGCATGGCTCAGTTGTGGGGTCCCCCTCAGCATCCCAGAACCACAGCCTCCAGCCTAGATGGAGGCCTGAGCAGTGCTGGGCCCAGACCAGGCCTGGCACCTGCTCCTCAGATGGTTTAGCATCTTGATGGCTGCATCTGTGGCCTGGGAGACAAGGTGACAGTAAGAACTCCATGCCAACCCTTGGCAGGTGTCTTATGTCTGACTACACAAAGGCCGCCTCAGGAAAAGGTCTGGAGTTTGCTGTGCAGGTGAGGCAGAGGAGAGAGAAGTTGTTCCCACTCCCAGGGTCAGGACTTAGGTCCTGGGGTTGGAGTGATTTCAATGTGGGGAGACATGGGCATTCGGAAGCAATAGAGTGAGGTGGTTCACCAGGCTGCCTGGCTTTGGATCTACCTCTTATCAGTGGTGTTACGTTGGGCACATGACCAAAATTGAGCTCCCTTAAATAGCACCTACCTCCAGGTGCTTTTCTGAATTGAATGAGAGAAGATTGCCTGGCAGGGAGCAGATACTCTACATTTGTTGAATGCATTTGTAAAATGTCTGGTACATAGTGAGTCCCCGTAACCTAGCTGGTGTATTCTTTGTTTGATTTGGGGATTATCTGTAAATAGGCACTCGTCTGTTGGTTTGGGGATTAGCTGGATGAGTCAGTGATGCTCTGTGGACTGGACTTTACTGGTTAATATGGGAATTAGCTAGGTGGGCAGAGATTGGAGTTTAGCTTGGAAATTGGCTGAGTGAGAAGAGATTATCTGTGTTTATCTGTTTGCTGGGGAATTGCCCGGATTTGGGGGCTGTGTATGCACTGGCCTCTCTCTTCTTCCTTCCTCGCAGATGATGGGAAGCTGTCCTTGGAGGAATTCCAGCTCTTCTTTGCAGATGGTGTCCTCAATGAGAAAGAACTCGAGGATCTCTTCCACGCAATTGACTCCGACAACACCAAGTGAGCGCAAGTCCTGGTTGCCAGAGCAGGGGTGCAGGGGGTCCTGTGAGGGAGGCATCCTCCTTCTGATCTAGGAGCAGGGGGCAGGAGATCTGAAGATTCCCAAACTTGCTAATCCAAAAGTCAGCTCTAGTTGGCCTTCACTGCCCCTCATGTGTTGGGGAGTGGGCAAATTGATATTGCACTGGCTACTATCGCAAGTTTGTCTTTTCTGAGCACACATGGCTAAGCAAGGAGAGACCCCCGATTCTGCACAGGATACACAGGATAACAAAAATGGGAATTTGGCAATGATTTCATCCTTCTGCTCACTCCACCCAGTCAGACTCCGACCCCAACCCTAACACCTTGTGCTTTCTCCCAATCCCAACAGTACCTGAGAGTTCGAGTCTCACCTTAACACTAATGCCCATTTTAAACCAAACTGGAACCACGTACTAATCTACTAATCCTAACTCTAACCCTCACCCTACTTCCTACCCTTGTACCTAATTAAACCTTTTCTCCAACCCAGTCGTAACCCAACCTGCATCTCAGAATCAGCCATATCTGTCTCCAACCCATCTGTAAATCAATGGCACATCCTACTCAAATTTACCCTTGACCGTTCGCCAACCTTAACTCCATCTCACCCTTTCCTTGGGATTCCCCAGACAGGATGAAGCCTGAGCTCCCTCCTCATCCCCATTTAGGTGAGATCAGAGCCCCTACCTGGTCATCGTCTTCAGGCCCACTCAGGTGATAAGGACCGGAGTTCCCTGGGGGCTGCTTGGAGCAATTTGATAAGTTGGGATCCCCTGAGACTGGCTAGAGATGGTCTGGACAAGGAGATACCAGCAAGCTAATTTGCAAGGGACCTGGTATCATGGTGGCCTGGACCAGAGGTTGAGGCTGAGAGTTTCCTGAGAGGCATTGGCTGGGGACCAGACTGGGGCAGATAGAGTGGGTATTCCTGACTGGGAAAGGTTACTTTAAAGAAATGGCTTCAGGCTGTAGACTCAAGAGTGGAGGGCTTTGTTTCTGGAGCCAGATGGAGGTTTCTGAGCTATTCCTGCAGCCTCCTGGGGAGCTTTGGAGGGGTCTAGGCAGGTGCCCACTGATTTATTCATTCTCATTCAGTGCTTTTGTGTTGGGCCAGCAGGAAGGTGGGGGAAGAGGGTAGAGAGAAAGAGCCACTGGTTTGAGAGTTTAACCACGAGAGTGAATAGGGGTGGGTGGGGTTTAGGGCAGACTAACTGTTATGGAAGGTCAAAACTCCTTCAACCTGCTCTTCAACCTTCCACAGTGTGTGAGCTACAACATCAGCTCCTTATATGCTAAATAAACTTTCTTCCCAAAACAATTGACATGAATCAGAAAGATTTGTGAAATGCAAGTTTAAACAAAATTGCAGGCTTCTTTTCTGCAGGACTTGTCAGAACTCTGAATGAGCAGAAGACAAGCACTGGGCTCATCTGAGCCCAGGTTTATTTGGTCACAGAAGCCTTTTATCTAGAAGCATCTCGTTGAACCTGGGTTCCACAAGCACACTATCCTCAGCCAGCCTCCTCCTCTCTCACATGAGGGAACTGGGCCCAGAGAGGGGAGGGTTATCAGGACCTGCCCGGACACACAGGGCCCTTGACTGAGGGTATGCCCCTGTAAGCTCCGCCGTGGCATCTTGTTCTCGAGGCTGGTATGTGCACCCTCACCACCGGGAGTAGCGTTCTCATGCCCGAGAAGGGGCAGGATCCTGCTCCGTGCTGTAGGAAGGAGGGTGTGGGTGTGGGATCCAGGGGCTAGGATGAGACAAGGAAGGCTGTGCCAGAGGCCCAGAGACACAAGGACCCAGCAGGCAAGGATGCCTGGGGTGGGTCAGATGATGAGTTTTGTCGACAGCCTGTAATAGTCCTGCCCCCCATCCTTTCTCTCGCCTTTCCGGGGCGCAGCCCCACCCTTGTTCCCATCTGTTCATGGTGTGGTCAGGAGACTTTGGGAAAGAAAACAGAAATAGAGTGGGTAGCATGGGGGTGTCATTTACCTGCTGCTCCCTCATCTGTAAAGTGGGGCTCATGGTGCCAGTGCAGCATAGGATGAAAAGAGGGGCGCAGTGAGGATTGCAAAGTGCACAGGGCGTGCACACTTTGGAGGGGCAGGGACAGGCCTGACTCTCTCTCTCTCTCTCTTTCTTTCTTTCTCTCTCTGCAGCCATGTGGACACAAAAGAGCTGTGTGGTAGGTGCCTGGCTGTGCAGAGACCAAGATGGGGGTATGGGAGGGGGATTGGGGGAAGAAGGGTCCAAAGGAAGGGAGAGGCAGTGCGGGGCATGGGCAGGATTGGTGGGGGGCCTGGTAAGAGGGACAGAATCCCCTGTTACCCCTGACCTTTGCCTTCCTTCCCCCAGATTACTTTGTAGACCACATGGGGGACTATGAAGATGTCTTGGCCTCCCTGGAGACCTTGAACCACTCTGTCCTGAAGGCCATGGGCTATACCAAGAAGGTCAGCGGGTGTGGGTGGCCCTGGGGGTCCAGGGCCTTAGTGCTGGTTTGGTTCCAGATTTTTCTGGGCATCCTCACCCAAGGGTGCCTGGGTTTACAATGACAGCTGCCGGGTGGGCCTGGCTCAGGGCTGGGCTTTGCTTGGGGTGTCTTGAGGGAGCTGAGGTCAGCTGTGAAGTGAGCAGAGTGGCTTGGCGAATGGCCCTGTCCGTTCCGACCTCTGGTTTGGAACATGAGGCCCTTTCTCAGCGTCAGGCCTGATCTTGGGATGGAGTCCTAGGAAGGGTGGCACCCGTCACTCCCTCGGGCAGGCATTACACCTGAAGAGCCCATGCCCTCTGCAGCAGGCCTAGGATGCTGGAAGCGGGGGTGGTGGGGGGTGGGGGCATGCTTCTGAACTTGACCGAGGAATTTATCATATGAGAGTCTGGGGAGGCAGGGAGACATGAGCTGAGCAATGGGACTGTCAGGAATATTGGGAAGGGGCTGCATGTTCTGGAGAGAGGGACCCGATATGGCCTGCAAGTCTCTGTCCATGGTCCTGTCACCTCCTCCTCTGCGTTGATGCCTTGTGGGAGCTCAGAAAAGGCCAGCCCCATCTGCTGGCTGAGGCCAGGGAGCTCAGCTGATAAAGTCAGCCAGACCTGGCTGAAGGATCCAAGCTGGTGTTTTCTCTTTCTGAGCCTCAGTTTCTCCAGCTGTGAAATGGGAGTGTCTACTTTATAGAGTCCTTGAGAGAAGTAAGGCCTTTAAGCTGCTTAGCACAGGGCCTGGCACAGAACAAAGGCAAGTACTAGTTCTTATCATTAGGCTCCTATTGTATGCCCAGGCATAGGTTAAGACCAATTTTGTATGTTTTTCTAATGCTGCTCAGTTACTGCCTGCCACATGGTAGAGAATCCCTTTCTTCCCATATATCCAAACATAGCTGGGCCTAATCCACATTTCCATTTGTGTCCTAATGTCATCCTGTTTTGAGTCTTGTTGTTTTAAAGTATGTTTTAATACAGTATAAGACTGACTCCCTATAATTTTTCATCTTTCCGTTGTTTGATATCCTGAAGTATCAAGGTGGGTGGTGGATTAGAAAGGAGTATGGAAAGCTCCTAGACTTCAGAGTCACCCAGACAAAGGAGTCAATCCCAGCTTCGCTCCCCAAACACCTATGGGCGACAGGGCGATTGAAACCACCTCCTTGGACCCTGGCTTTCTCATCTAGCAATGGGGCCACTTCCTAGCAATGTTGTTGCAAGGTGTTGATAACATCCGACTTGCTCCTCTGTCTTTGGTCACGCTGTTCTGGAACATGATGTAGTTTTCCATCAAGGAAAGGATCTTAATGTCTACCTGTACAACTTAGACTAGCTTTAGAGATTTTGCTCCCAGAAGTCATACACAGATCAGGTCAGGGGTGGTCTTTGGTGAGTTTCTAGTGGTAGGTCATTGCAGAGGTGATTGGCATTTCTTTTTCTTGCATATTTTCTAACTGGTGTTTCTTTGTAGAAATGCAGCTAATTGATTTTTATTCTAAATGCTTTTCTTGTATCCATTGATTTTAGTCGACTTCTTTGCTTTTTTCGAGATGCATTGTGGCATCTGTGATTAATTAGTATGGTTATCTGCACTTCTGACATGTGCTTCTCTGTTTCACTGTTATGTCCTGTTGCATTTTCAGCAGATTCTAAAACACCATGATGACACCAGGCCAGGCATTCTTGTTTTGCTTCTGGTTTCCAAGTGCATCTCTCTAGTATTTCTTCACTAATTATAATATTAACACCAGCTCTTATGTTAGAATCCTCTTTGGCATGTTGAAGAAATGTTTTTGCATTCCCTTTGTTAAATTATGTCTTAGGAGATGGGAGTGAATTTTTTCAAATGCCTTTTTGGTATTTTTAAATGATGATATGACTTTTCCTAAGGTATTGATGGGGTGGATTCTATTTTTAGATTCTCTCATATTGAGCAATCAATCCTCAGCTTCCTGTCATCAATCCAAATTGGCACATTATTCTTTTATCACATTGCCAAGTCCTTGTCACTAGCTGAGCATTTTATCTCTGTCTCCAGTGGGAACTGAGATCGGATGATAGTTTGGGAATGAATTGTGAGGTGGTTTTGGTTGTTTTCTGTATGTGAATCAGCTTCTCTAACATGCATTTATTTTTCTATTCAAAAATAGGAAGAATTTATCCATAACTCTTGGGCTAAGGCTTGAGAGAGGGGAGGATATTATTTTAAGTTATTTTAAGGTCAACCGAGGTTTTAGTCAAGTTTTTTACTTTTTTGTCCATTTTAGTATATTTTTAAACAAAACTGTCCTGGACATGTTCGGTTTTATGATCAGTTATGCGTAGTATGTTCTTAAGATTACTTTTAAAACTCTCAATCATTGTTTGACACAAAACAGGCACCTAATACAGATTAAGGTCAATAAAATATCTGCTGTTATAGACCAGGTCTCATTTTAAGTTTGATCCTGTTTTCCTACATTTTAAAGCCTTATATTTGACAGAGTATGCCTGCTTTAATTAGCTGTTTCTAATAACCAGCCTCTGACACATTTGTTTAAATTTCATGATGTTTCCTAATTTATTTTTCATTCCTCATTATTATTTCTTTCCAACATTTCCTTGTTTTTGTTGTTGTTTGCTGTTCTTTTTCATGTGTGAAATGGAATGCTTAAATTTTTTTGATAACAAAGTTTGAAATTTTAAAAATTTACCTCTGAATGATATTTTCATGGCAACCATACATCTTATGTGTAATATTTTCACTCTCATGGTTCTCTGAATAGTCTACTATGTTCTCATTTATTTCTCATTTCATTGTGTTACGATAACATTGAGGGACCAGTAAGGTTTCTACTCTATTTTTTTAATGTATTGAGATATCTTCATTATATAACATCTTATTTTTTTTAATAACTATCTCATGGGTGCTTGAGAAGATGTGGCTTCTGCTTGCAGAATATCAGATTTGAAAATAGCTATCCTTGCTTTGTTATAAAATATATGCTATTAAAAGACAACTTTTTTAAAAGGTGAATTGTGTTTCTTCTACAAATGTTAAATGGACATGACAAATATTTTCTTTAACTCATTAATTAATGTGAGAATCAGTAAGATGTTACAATGCACTCAAAGGAGAATTCAGAGAACACAGGCATATATATATATATATGTAGCAACTAGGAAGTCTGAGATGAATTTGTGAATAAATGCAAAACTGGTCACTATCCACACGGCATCAATCAGTTGCATTCTGCTAGACAAAATTCATATGTGTTTCTGTGGATGAGAATTGTTTAAATTATTATAAATTTTCTGTATCTTAAGACTTTTAACAGTAGCTCTAAAACAAGGAAAGACTTAGATAATACAGGAAAGTATACTAGATGAGAAACCCAGGAATCCTTTTTGCCCATTTCAAAGACTTTCACAATTTTTCCTGACAATGCCTTCTGCGTCCCTGTTTACTGTTGTCAGATTTATCTGTCCTGTGGGACCATGGTGAGCTAATTTCTTACAGTACGTTGTTTTGGCATTTAATAAGCTTTGTATTTCTAACAGCTTTACTTTTTATACTTTTAGCTATGTTGTTTCATGTGTGTACTTTTGTTATAATATTTTTACTATATAAATCATACATATTTGATATGCAAAATTTAGGAAGTAGAGCAACGTAGATGGGGCCGGCCCGGTGGCGCACTGGATAAGTGCGCCGCTTGGGAAGCATGGCGGCGCTCCCGCCCGAGGGTTCGGATCCCACATACAGACCGGCCGCTCACTGGCTGAGCGAGGCGTGGGGAGCAACACCGAGGGTTGCGATCCCGTTGCCGGTCCCCGGTCCGGTACGGGGGCAACACTGAGGGTTGCGATCCGTTGCCGGACACGACAAAAGACAAAAAAAAAAAAAAAGTAGAGCAACGTAGAAAGAAACATTTCAAATCACTTCCAATTCTCACTACCCCAACCACTGTTAACATTTTAGTTTACCTTTGTGCCTTTTTCCATGTGTGTTTCTTTCATATTTTTCACATCATACCATGTACATAAAATTATTTTCTGCTTTATTACCTAATATTTTAAAACTTTTTTCATGTTAAAACTGTACAAGAGCATCATTTTAAATATTCTTATTTAAATTTACTTATTTTTCCTCTCTTGTTGGGCATATTAGTTCTTTGCAGGGTTTTGATATTATGAATAATTCTGTAATTAATACCCTGGAACTTACGTATTTGTCTATGCTTTGCACTGTTTCTTAAGGATAGATTATCAGAATTGGGGAATTACTGGGTTAAAAAATACAAGCAGTTTAAAGCTCTTGACATATAGCAAAATTGCTTTATAAAACATGGCTGCATCCATCAAGTCCCCATAGCTGTGTCTATAGCAGTATCCTCTCTTAGTGCATGAAGGTTTAAAAATATCATGTCCTTGTTTTGTCCACGCCTTTTGTCATTCATTATATTCTGACCCGTCTCAGCTTGTGTAATACTTCCTCATTTAAATTCTAACTTGATAGTGTTATTGCAACTTGTCCTGTTCGTTTGATCAGATTTGGTTACAGAATCTTTGCACAGGCTTTTCTTGTAAATCCTTTGTGCTGCTTTGGTTTAGGTGTGTTTCTGGTTGGATCTGATTTAATCCAATCTGGGATCACGTCTTTACACGTTTTTACCTTTTGATGGTCTCTGTGTTTATATTGTTGAATGTGATTTGGAAAGTAAAAATCCTAGTTTTCATTTTACTAGTGATTTTTAATTTAAAAAGTTCACATTTTTTTTTTTTTTTTTTTTTAAAGATGACCGGTAAGGGGATCTCAACCCTTGGCTTGGTGTTGTCAGCACCACGCTCACCCAGTGAGCTAACCGGCCATCCCTATATAGGATCTGAACCCGTGGCCTTGGCGTTATCAGCACCGCACTCTCCCGAGTGAGCCACGGGCCGGCCCCTAAAAAGTTCACATTCTTAATTCTATTTTTATACTTAGCTAATAAAAGACACTTCCTATTCCCTCTGGAAATAAAAGGAATTTGCCTTTGTATCCTTAATGTTTAATTTGAGTGGTCACCATTATGTCTTCTTTTCACAACTTCTCTATTCAGTAATTCTTTCTCTAATTCAAGCCTAGATGATTTAGAAAAAATTCTTAAGCATTCTTTGCAGAAAGGGTGCTCATCTGGTAAAATTTCAGAGATTTGCTGATTTCTGAAAATCTCCCTGTTGCCCTGCAAATAAGTTACTTGTCCACTGGATACAAGGTTTCTAGATCTGATCCTTCCCCTCTGGAACCTATAGAGCTGGTCTCTTGGACGAGGCATCAATTGTGGCAGAAGAGAAATCTGTAAAAGCTTCATTTTTACTCCCTTGAAAATAACTTGTCTTTTTTAGGATTCAGCTCACCAGTATATTTATCGATCCCCTGACTGCATCCCCAGTTACTGGTTGGGTGCTCTTAAGACACTTCACCTCGCTTTTCTGCTTGGTCACTTCTAGCAGTCTTTTTCTTTGTGTTTAGATTTTGTACCAAGTTGTCTTCCTGTTTGTTTTGGGCCATTCATTTGTCCAGAGTCCATTGATCACTGGATCGTGTGTTTCAGCTGTCAGCTGGGAAGGATAATTGATCATTGCAATACATTAGGCTGCCAGAACCTGACATACTTTCTGCCACAGGTTCATTCTCCACCAGGGCCTGTCTGCAGCGGGCTCTGGCCTGGCTGTTGGCATAGGACATCCACTTCCACGCCTTCTCCGGGTACCCCTGCTCCCACCCCCACCTCTGTTTCTTGGTCTCTCTGTCTCTCAGCCATGTATCCCATTGTGCAGTTATTGCTAATTAATTCCCAGTCAGAGTGATGGATGGTTTAATTTGCTTTCCTTCAGAGCCCTGTTTTCCTCGCCTTGCCAGAGACTGGGCAGAATTCCAAGGTGCCCGGGGCAGATGGCTCAGGAAGGCAGGGTCTTGGAGGCAGCTTGAAGAACAGCACAGGGTGTGAGAGACCCGGAAACCCCCAACGTGGCATCATTTTGTCATCTCATTCTTGAGTGACCTGGATAAGACAGAGCCTTCTCCCTTCCTCTGTAAAGCCTTTTGCTGTCCAAAGAATCTCAGCTGGTCCAAAAGCCTTGAGAAATTCAGCCTTTCTTGAGGTCTCCTGACAAAGAGAAATTCTATCTCATACCACAGCACAAAACTAGAGGAAAACCCTCTTTATCCATCTTTCCCCACAGTTCCCCTCCTCAGGGCATCTGCAAAGCTCTTTCAGTCCCTCCCTGCTCTTCTGTCTCCTCCCTCTGAGTGCTGAACTTCAGGCACTTTCTTGGAGAAGCCAGTTTAACCCACGTGGCTGCTTTTGATTCTCTTCTGTTATTTCACTGAGTTAGCAGCATGGAGACCCAGGCACCCAAGAATTCTCCTTGGAGGAAGAAGGAGGGAGAGGAGGTTATGAATTTGTCTCTCCTAGTACTTTATCCCTGTTACAACAATAAAAACAGCACTGCCGCTGCCATCACCACCATCACCACCACCACCATCACTGCCACTACCATCATCATCACCACCATCACCATCACCACCATCACCGTCGTCACCACAATTACCACCACCACCATCATCACCACCACCATCACGATCACCACCACCATCACCACCACCATCATCATCACCATCACGACCACCACCACCATCACCACCACCATCACCACCCCCACCCCCACCACCACCATCACCGCCACCGCCACCACCACCATCACCGCCACCACCACCACCACTATCACCACCACCACTACCACCACTGCCACCATCACCATCATCACCACCACAATTACCACCACCATCACCGCCATCCCCACCAGCACCATCACTGTCTTTATCAAAGCAGCTGCTGTTTACTGAGTATTTACTGTGTGACAGACACTATGCTGAGCATTGTATATACATTTTGTCATTTAGTCCTCACTGCAGCCTTGTAAGATAGACAGTACAGTGACCGTCATGCTCAGGGTCACCGAGCTAGTAAATGGTGAAGCCAATATTCAGGCCTCATCTCTGATTCCATAGCCCCTGCTTGGAGACTCTGCAGCCTCCCAGATGCAGGAAGCAGTGGGGTCCCCTCTTCCCCCTGCAAGGCAGAGACACTGACCCCAGGTGCTCCCCACAACTTCTGTGCTAGACCCCACATCCAAATTCCCTTGCAAACTTTGTCCTTGGGGCCCTTCCCGCCTCTCCACAGGTATACGAGGGCGGGAGCAACGTGGACCGGTTTGTGACCCGCTTCCTCCTGAAGGAGACAGCCAATCAGATCCAATCACTGCTGAGCTCCGTGGAGAGTGCAGTGGAGGCCATCGAGGAGCAGACCAGCCAGATCCGGTGCGTGATGGGGCCTTGCAGGGTTTCCAGGGGCATGCCGACACATACGCACACAGCCTGCTGCTTCTGGGGTGTTTGTGTACCTAGGAGCTGGGTGACCTTGGGAAAGTTGCTGTACCTCTCTGGGCCTCCATTTTTTCCAACTGTAATGTGGGGACAATTATATACCTAACCCCTCAGTCACTGTAGGATTGAATGAGAAAGTACGTGCTCAGGAGAATGCCTGGTGTACATATGGTACATGCATGCCTTCATGCCATAAGGCGCTATTTCCCAAACTAATCAATTTTACCACGTCCCCATACCACTTGTTTAGGTGGAACTGTTCTATTGCTGGGCCCAGTTTTTACAACTGGAAATAAATTTAAGAAGCAGTGTGTGGTTACTTGGAAGATGAGTCTCACGTGCCATAAATGGAGTAACCAACAAAGAAGTAGCCTAAGGTTGCTCCCTCTCTGTTAAGAGAGGCTGGGAGATCTGAGAGAGGCATCGAAGACAGGGTACCACCAAATTAAGACTTTCTCAGGAGGCTTGAAAGAGTGAAAATGGAGTGGTTTTCTCATGGTGTACTCAGTGTTATGTAAGGCCTCACTCATGTGCCCAGAACCACAGAAAAGCCCCTGAGACCCCACGTGGGCGGCAATGCTGTGTTGAGGCTGTGACCTGGGATCTAGAGAGGAGCAGTCCTCTCCCCCCAGCCCACCAGTGCCATTTGCTGTCCCAATACTCTTCTCTACCCAGCTCCTCCCAGAATAGTCTGTGTGCCTGGCACAAAGGCTGAGTAGAGAAAATACAGAGCAAGAGCCACGTGTCCACGCCCAAGCTCTGTGGAGCCTTGACTTCCTCTGGACACTGCCTTGAGTTTCCCAGGCAGAGGCTGGCCCAGCCAGGATGCTGGCTTGCTGTGGCTTGGGGGTTTGAGTGTGTGTCTTTTGTTTGGTGAGGGCAGGTCCCATTTAGGTAAGATTGTGAAGGCCACTTCATGATGCTGTTCCCAAAGTATGTTTGCTCTGAGTGCCTGTGGCCTAATCAGCTGGAAAACTTAAAATGCAGAGTCTTGAGTCCCGGGCCACATGCACTGGTTAGAATCCCTGGGAGCTGAGCCCAGGACTCTGCATCTGTGGTCAGTCGTGTGATTCTGAGGGTCTCCAAAGTTAACAACCACCACTCTGGAAGCTGACACATTTCCTTTCTGTTTTGTCACTATCTTGGTGAAAATCTTGCCATTTTTATCCTGCCACAGAACAGATAGTATTGCTGCATGATTTTCATCAGTGATTTCCTGCCCTATGACACCTGCCACCCCCACATGGGACATTGGTGGAAGGGATGGCATGTCATGGTGGAGAGACACACCTGCTCCACATGCCCCCACCTCAGACCACCTTAAATCCCAGCTATTTTGGCTCCTGGCCATGGGTCCCCAGGGCCATCTGTTCTGTTTACCAGCCTTAGAGCAGCCTCCAGGATGTCGTGTTCCAGGCACAAGCCTCTGGTTCAACACCTGCCACCCTGGGGAGTTGGGTTTGCCCCTTCAGCACATGGGAGAGCCTTGCTGAGCTTTCAATGTTCATAGGAGACAAATTCCAGAATGCACCGAGGCAACGATGCTCAAAGAAGGAGGGGGTAGTGTTGAGGGGGGCGGGGATCGGGCACGTCAGCCATGCACAGGGGCACTGTGTGTGTTTGTGTATTTCTATGTCTGTGGTGAGTTTTCCAGCATCCCTTTGCACGGGAGGGTTTGGACATTGACCACGCATTTGTTGAGTCCCTATGTGCCAGGCACAGTGCTCGGGGAGTAGGGTGTATGCACCTCCCTGGCTAGCTGTGCCTGTCAGGGTGCGTGGGGGCTGTGCTCACCAGTGTGTGTTGGAACCCAGTAGAGGGTTCAGGGTCAGGAGGTGGGGCCTGGCCCCTCTCTCTAGGGCCTGGCTGATCACAGCTTTCTGTCCTGTTATGTCCCCAACTGTCTCTTAGGGTTCCTTTTGTGGGGGTGGATTGCTGGTGCAAACCCAGGTCACCTACCCCAGAGGGCACCAAACACCAAACTGACTTCCAGTGAGGTGGGGAAGGACGGGGACTTGGTATCTTCACAGCATGGGCTCAGCGGTTGCCCAGGAGGCTGTGAACTGTTGGGATAGGGTAGGCTCCTGGCTTAGCCTCACCCCAGCCCTGCACCTGAATCTCTCAGGAACAGGGCCTGGGCATGGGGTCCTAGAATGGAGCTGAGTTCAAGTCCCGGCTGGGGCAAGGCCTTGGCTGAGTCACCTGCTTTATGGGCCTCGTTTCCACCTCCATGAAAGCAAAAGCAATAATGCCCACCTCACAGGGGTGAGGTTCCCCAGGGCAAACAATGGGTACGTCTCAGCCCACAGCCAGCGCTACACAAATGCCTGCTGAAGCTGCTGCAAGTGTCAGGGCCCTGCAGCCAACACTGTAGTCTGTGTGTTTCCCCCTCTCAAACTGCAGACAGAACCACAGCAAACCCAGCCATGGCATGGTGGAGACCTGGTATGGAAGCCCCAGTCTGCCTTACGCCCCCAACCAGAAGCTCACGGCCACGGAACAAGGGAGGAGCCCTCTGTCTGGTGAGAGAGAGCAGTGGCCAGGGGTCGGGGCAGTGGCCGGGGCTGTGGAGGAATTCTGACAGTGCCCTGGCTGTGACAGTGACCTGGCTGTGACAGTGACCGGGGGTAGGGTCAGTCTGGGTGTTCCCTTCCCCCTCAGGCCTGGCCCTGTCCCTCCCACCATCAGGGTGTCTGTTTCTCCTTCTCAGCCACCTCGGACCCAAAGGAGGAGGGCCTGGAAGCCCAGGTCAGCCGGTTGGCAGAGCTGATTGGGAGGCTGGAGAACAGGGTAAGCCCCAGCCACGTGCCCACTGTGATCCCTCCTCTCTCCCCAGCCCCCAGGGCATGCAGTTAGGCCTGGACTTCAGGACAGAAGTCAGGGCTGCAGAGGGGACAGGGGCCATGGAAAAGACCCCCATCACCAGGTGGGATGTGGCAATGGAGAACTCAACTAAGGCTCAGACCCTGGGGAATATGTGTGTTGTACAGGCCTAAGGAGAGGCCAACTTCAACTTTGAAGGAGACTTTGCTCTAAGGCAGGGGTGGCCCAAGCAGGTGGGAGCAAGAAGTGGCACATGGATGAATGAGACACGGCGATGATTCAGGACAGCTTAGAAACAAGGAGATGACCAACAATGAGAAATCTATTAAGTAAGATGTGGCCCGTCCACAGTAATAGAAAAGGACACATCCTTTACACAATCACATTTTCAGAGAATGTTTTGTGACTTGGTAGAGTACTCACAACATGACCATTTGGTGGAGGAAAGAAAACTGCGTGCCTTAGGGCTTACCAGCTGCATGGGCTCAGGTATCAGACTGTCCACATTCCAACTCTGGCTGTACTGCTTAACAGCTGTGTGCCTTGGGCCAGTGACTTACACTCTCTGAGCCTCAGATTCCTCTGATGAAAGAGAAAATAATCAGCAGAATGTAATCAGCAGAAAATAATCAGCAGAAAGAGAAAATAATCAGGGGCATTGTTCAGATGAAATAAAACGATGCCTTATGGCTTAGCACAGAGCCCCTGGTCATAGTTAGCATTTAATATTAGCAATGTTAGCAATTATTATCAGACATTCCACTACCAAAATCTGTACACATGCACGCACCACACCCACACACCTACATAAACCAGGATAACAGGTGTCTCAGAGCCACAGCATGGAGGTGATTTCACATTTCCTCTATTTTTCTGTATTTTTTTAACATCGTTTGCTAAGGGCATTACTACTTTGCTGGGTTTGAGGGTCGTGGGTGGAGGGATTCGAGGGGCTCCCCACCGGGAGGGACGCACAGTCTGTCACTTGTAGGGAAGTCCGAGGCGGGAGGCAGGCGCGCCCCCTGCAGTGCTGAGCCGGGGTGGGATCGCCCCCCCCCCTTGAAGCCGACTGTCGGGGTGAGGTCGGCTCGGCGGGACCCTGCGGCCCAGTTGTCATAACAACTCGGCAGGCGCCTCGGTAGGGAGGCTCTTTGCAGCTTATTTTTAGCGCCCGGTCGCCCTAACAACCAGGCTGGCTGGTAACCGAGGAGCACCTGGGCGTCCTGGAGACGGGGCGGGGCCCTCGTCCCCGGCCTCTGATTGGCCAAGGCCGCGAGCAGGAGCCAATCCGGGCCTGGCTCCGGCCCCGCCCTTTCGCGGGCCAACCTGAGCCGCCTCCGGGCTCTGCCTGGGCGGGGAGGATGGAGGCGCTGGGGCAGACCCGTGCCTCTGCTCTCCGGGAACCCACATACACGATTGTGAAACGATGGAGACAGACGCTCCTGCCAGGCACACCGTCAGCACTTAAAGCACGTCCGCGTCACGCGTCCGGGAGAAGTCAGTACCGTCTCCAGGATCGGCCCCTACAGCGCCCCTTGTTCAAACACTGAGACTTGTAAGGTGGGGTTGCACACCACAGCCCGCTCACCTGCCGCTGTTTTCTTTGACAGCCAGCTGATAGGCCTCACACGTGTGCTCATGTGTGAGATTGCAGTCTGTCCTCATGCAGGACGGACAGGGATAGGCACAGAGGTGGCGATTGTCGCGGCGCTCCAGTGAAAGGAAGAAGAATCATGATTCTTTGTGTCAGGTGGGGAGAGATACTCGGTCCGAACCCAGGCTCTGACACTTAACCAGCTTTTGTGACCTACAGAGCCTAGGGTTCTCTCCTATGAAATAGTGACCGTTGAGCATCAGTGAGTGGTCAGCCCTGTAGTAGACACCAGGTACGGGTGACAGACAGAGCTGACATGGTTCCTGCTACAGGGAGCTTACAGTGGGGCAGTACCCACCTCAGGGAGTCTGAAAAGTTAAGTAAGATGTATTTGTAAACCATTTAGCTCAGGACCTGGGGAAGGCCAGGGAGAAGGAATGTATCACTCCATTCCGACCATTACATTCGTGAGGTGCCAGGGATTGTGATTTGGGTGAGTTGTAAGCTGATGCGGAACCTCAGGGCTGTTGCCAGCAACTGTGGCAAAAAACAGCAGCATCCTGGATTTGGGCTTCTTGAGTCCCCACCTCTTCCTCTCCTGAGACCTCCCACTCCAGCAAAACACTCAGTCTCCTTTGTGCCCTCTGCAGTGGGTGGGCTTGGCCTCTGTGCCTTCCAGTGCCCCCAGATGCCAGGGCCAGAAGGGATTTTCTGCCACCTCCTGTGGTTGGTCCCCAGCCATGCCTTCCTGGGTTCCCTCTGAGCCAGCACTGTGCATGGAATATGGACTGAGCCCTGTCCAGTGAGGCCTGGCCTCTGGGAGCTCCCACCAGCCCAGGGGTTCCCAGATCCCCTGGCACCTTAGGGCGGGGGTGCTGAAGCTCTGTGGTGGTCCTGAGTGCTCCAGTGTCGCTGTGGTGGGACCTGGAGGCCTCTCTGGTGGAGGTGGCCTGTGTCTCTAGTGTCACTTTGTGCTTCATTGTTTCAGACACTCTGGTTTGACCTGCAGCAGCGCCTCTCAGATGAAGAAGGCACCAACATGGTGAGACCCCTTCCCTGAGACCCCCTTCCCCCCGCTTTCCCATGGCCTCATCTCTGCCTAAGCCAGGACTGTCAAGATCTGGGTGTCTTCATGTCTCTAACCTACCCCTCCTGTCCAGAACCACCACCAGGGAAGATGAAGCCCTAACACTTGGCCCCCAGACCCTGCCCTGGCCCAGGTGTTCTTCGAAGCTCTGGAGACTCTAATCAAAAGAGGTTTTGCGTGAAGCAAAGCATTTGGCAAGACAGTGATGCCAAAACGCTGAATCAATCAGAAAGGGACTTTGCTGGTCCCTGGTTCTGCTGGTCTCAAGGACCTGGATGTCTTGTAGGCACAATGGATATTCATAGGGCCTCTTTAAACACCCTTGCCTGTTTCTCACCATTTGTGGGGACTACTTTCTGCATTTGGCTCAGTTCTAGTCCTTTTTAGCCAGTTTTCATGTGTGAGAATGAGAACCATGTGTGTGTTGGGGCGGTGGTTGTGTCTGGCTTTATTTTGGCCCAATTGTCCTGTCCCCTCAGAAGGGAGGCATTGGAGGCTGGGTGGGGTTCGGGGGAGGGCTCGGCAGGGAGCTGAGGGGGTGCCCACTGCACTCACTCTCTGGCCCGGCAGCACCTGCAGCTGGTCCGGCAGGAGATGGCCGTGTGCCCTGAGCAGCTGAGCGAGTTCCTGGACTCCCTGCGACAGTACCTGCGGGGCACCGCCGGGGCAAGGACCTGCTTCCAGTGAGTGAGCCACAGCACAAGGGACGGTGGCGGGGGCTCTGCCTGGCGTGGTAGATGGGGCAGGACCAGCCTCAGCCCTGAGAACAGACCGTGCCCCAGGGAAATGCACAGCAGGGTGATTAGGGGAGCTGGGTTCAGCTTCTTCCCGGCTGTGTACACGTGTCGCAAGTCACTTCAAGTGACTTCATCTCCTTGGCCTCAGCTCATTCCTCTACAAAGTGGGGCCACCAACAGGACCTGCTGGTGGGGGTTGTGGGAGCATAAGTGGAGTAGGGATGTGAAGGGCTCAGGCCGGACTGGACACTGTCCACGGGCCGCTGGTGCGAGCTGCTGCTGTGGCCGTCATCGTACACCTAGCACATGGCCTGGCATGTAGCTTGCACTCAGCAAATTATAAAGGATGGAAGAAAAGGAGAGGACGTGAGGCCGGAGGGAAATGCCTGAGAAACAGTAGCCACCACGTTTTCCCCTGGTCTGTGCTGAGACACCCAGGAGGAGTCCTCAGTGGGGGTGGGGGTAGCTGGGCCAACAGCTCCCACCTGTGTCTCCAAACTTTGGGCGGCTCCTTGGGACCTCCCCCTCCCATCCCTTCCCTGCACCCAGGCCTGTGTCACTCCTCAGCAAAGCTGAGCTGGTGGCCATGGCCGCATCTGAGGGCCTACAAAAGACCACAGCGCTGCTGGTGGTGGCCCAAGAGAGCTGTGGGCACCAGCCGCCCGGCTCTCTCCCCTCTTGTCTACACCGCCAGCCCTCTGGCCTGCCTGTCAGTGCCCAGTAGCCGTGGCCTCTGTGCCGGTTCCCTACCTCAATTCCCTCCCTCTCCAGTGGTTTTTTTCCATCCTGAGAGCTCATGTTCTGCACCCTCTGTTTCCTGGGGGCCTGCTGGGGCAGGCTCTGGACCCTGGGACACAGCTGTGAACCAGGTAGGCAGGTGGCTGTTCTGGCTAAATGTTTATTCTTGGTGAGACAGGGGCAGACAAAGATGATTCCAGATGGTGGTAGGTGCTGCGGAGGCCAGGAAACAAGGTCTCGCCAGAGAAGGCACTTTGGGGAGAGGCTGCTCGAGGTTGAGGAGTGTCTGTCTGCACAGCCGCCTGTCACCAAGGCCTGCGTGATGAGCAGCCTGACCTGCACAACGCAAGCTGGAGTGGCCAGGGCAGGGGCAGCCAAGAGCTGGGGTGGCAGGGGGAGGTAGCGTTCGAGAAAGAGAAAGCAGCCAGTGCAGCTGAACAGAGCAACATGGGGGAAAGGACCTGGCATGGTGGCAGGACCCACTCCTGCCAAGTGCAGCAGGCCAATGGACCATGCTGCAGACGCATACACAGGAGCAAGACTCGGTCCTGTCCCCGTTGTGTGAGGAAGGGCTGGGCAACACGGGAGGAGACCCTGCAGTCACCAGGGAGGGGTTGGTGGGGCGTCCTTGGCATGGTGGGTGGCACTGGCCGGATTTGCTAAGGGAGTGAATGGTGAGTGTGGGAGAGGAGACGCGGTGGGCTCCCAGATTCCTTGGCTTCACTGTCTCGACAGAGGACTGTGCCATTTACTGAGCTGCAGAAGACAAGGTGCTGAAAGACAAGTCTGCAGCTTCTGGCAGGGATGGGGCAGGGCAGGGGTTGGGGCTGCTGGGTGCACATGGTGCCTAAGGCCACACAGCAGTGAGCGGCAAGAGAGAAGGGGGCCCGGGCCTGGGAGGGAGGGAGATGAGGTGCCCAGCCACTCCCGTGCAAGTGGCACTGACTCTTCAGGCTGAGCTCTGCCCCCTCTTCACATCACTCGGCCCACCTGTTGTGCTGCTTGGTACACACCCACCATGCAGCCCTCTCCTCACAGGGCAGGGACCCGGCGCGCCGGTCCCCAGGGCATACAGTAGGGCTCCACACCTGTTTGTTGAATGACTGCGTGTCCTCACTGCACCCTGAGCCTGCCTGCTCCATAGCTGCTTTCATGGCGCTGCAGTCACCAAACAGATGAGCCAAGTTTCTTGTGATGACCTTTGCCTGTTGATATAGAGAAAGACCCAGAAGCGGCACCATCCACATCTGGCAGAGGCCACGGGTTCCGTATTATCAGTGGGCAGCACGTGTCCCCCAGCCTCTGCCCCGCGTCCGCTCATCAAGTTAGGAGCCCACAGCTCCACATGTAATTTTAGGCCAGAGTGTAATGAACTAATGATATGATTAGCGGCCTTGTTTCTCTGCTTCCATCCTGTGTGGCAAAACCTGGAATTGCCTGTAATTATACAGGGGAGCATTCACCCATGACAGAATCCTCCTGAAGGAGGGCTGGGGGGTTAGTTCTGCTGAGTGTGTGAAAGCGAGCAGAGGAGAGGCCAGATGGGAGCAGGACAGTGACACCAAATGATGTCACCTGGGAGGGGGCCCTTGCTCCCCCAGGGCTACCACATTCCACAAGGTCCTGGAGGCACCCCCTGGCCTCCTGCCCTCTCTGAAGCTCCAAGAGTCATGTAGCATCTGCCCTGTTTAAAACAAGGTGAATGACGTGCCCTGGGTCACACTGGTCATTCAGAAGTGACATGGGATTTGCCTGGCCTGTAGGATGCTCCCCCTGGGGAAGACCCTCCCTCAGTCTGTTTCCTCCTGTCAGGCCAGGTCCAACTTAAAGAGATTGTTTTAAGGATTAAATGAGAGAGTGCTTATGAAGGAGGAACATGCTTTGTTTTTTAAAGGTAAAGTTTTTTAATGAATATGAAGCCTTTTACAATTACATTTCATTATGATCTGCTCAACAAATAACTGCTGGCCACTCTAAGGGCCCAGGCCTTGTTCCAAACAGACCTGGTGGCTGGTCCTGGAGGCTCTGAGATGTTCTGATCAGCAAAGCAGAGGCCCCATTGTGGGGACAAGGTGGACGCTGTACCCAGACTGCCCCAGCGTCCCCAGCCTTTGCCAGCCTCACATTTCCGGGCTCAAGGTTATCCCAGAGCCTGACTCTTGAGTCCCCCCGGCAAGGCGCGTTCGAGGGTGGGGCAGGGCCAGGGAAGGAGGTGGAGGAGGTGCTTGTGTGTGTCCGTGTTCCAGCGGGCAGCCCACAGGGGCCAGGGCCGCTCCCGTCCGTGCACAGACTCCCTGCCTCTGTCCCTGCAGCATCGCCGCGGTGAGGCTGTCGGACGGTTTTACCTTCGTCATCTACGAGTTCTGGGAGACGGAGGAGCAGTGGAGGAGGTAGGTGCATCCATGTCCCCACATGCCAGGCCGGCAGTTGTGAGTTAGGTGACAGGCCATGGTGGGGGTGTCCCTGTGTGCCAGGCTGGCAGCTATGGGTTAGGTGAGGGGGCCGTGGTGGGGTGGGGTTGCCTGGGCCCTGGGGTCCCTTTCCTTGACCCCAGACTATCCATGAGAGGATGGGAATAATGAGTCCAGCCACCATGTTCCAGAAGCGTCTACCGGCAAGAATGCCTGCCTCACCTGGCCGACACATGCCCTGGTGCAGATGGAGGTGGTGTTTCTCGGTATGTAGTGAGACGCCTCACACTCCGCTGGGCTCTTTCAGTGCAGGTTCCCAGGTAGCCCGAGCCCTGCCAAGTCTCTGAATCTGACAGCAAGGCAGTTGCACACGTGTGCATGAAACTGCTGCTCTAAGGGTTACAATCCCCTCCCCAAGCCCTCCCGGCCTCACCCTTTCAGCTCACTCTTCCAGGTCCAGCTCCAGTGGCCTCCTCCAGGAAGCCCTCCTGATTCCACCCCCCACCCCCCGAGTTTCCAGTCCCTCCTCTGTGCCTCTTAAAATACCCCGTTCCTCCTTGACTGGCCACTGAGGGCCGAGGCTCTGCCTCACTGAACATCTCATGCAGTCCAGGGCCTGACGCAGAGAAGGTAACTCAGTACCCATGTGATCCATTGCTCTGTCACCTGCTCGGAGCACATTCAGGGCAAGTTGCTCCCCTCCCTGGCAGGAGACAGGGATATCCAACACACACCCCTGATGGTTCTGCTTCGCTGGGCGCTCCCCATCCCTCCAGCACTGCCAGGCTGGCAGGAAGGGCAGCCTGTGAGTAGCTCCGTAGCCCCCACTGTCCTGCTTCCCTGCTGGACACTCACATGTGGTGACAGGCTGAGGACCCCAGGGGGGTGGGGCTGCCATGGGAGGTGAGTGACACAGGGAAGGACTCTGGGTCTTCTGTTCACACTTCACTGACTTGGGAACAAGAGACTAAACCTCTAGAGGCTTCAGTGTCGTACAAGGCACGTGACGGTCTCACCCCCTCCCAGGGTACATCAGGAGATTGAATCTTTGTGCACTTAGACCTGTTCTCGTTCCCAGGACAGGTTGACCCAGCAGGGTGTGTGCGGTACTGGCCTCAGTCTAGGAATTCTTTCCATTAAAGCTCATCTGCCTCACTGGAAGGCGAGCAACTGGCCACTGTCCCCCAGCGTCCGGTGGTCAGCCTCACTGGGGACTAGCCTTCTTCTCTTCCCAAAGAGACTCAGACCAGCCCACTCTTGCTTTTGAGCTCCTCATCTCAGGCAGAGCTAGGATTAGAACTGGACCCTCTCCCAGAGGCTCCCAGACCTCCAGCCAAGCCCCACAACTAACACATGTCTCCTTGGGTTGCAGGCACCTGCAGAGCCCTGTGTGCAAGGCATTCCGGCATGTCAAGGTGGACACGCTGAGCCAGCCTGAGGCCCTCTCCAGGATCTCAGTGCCAGGTAGAGGGCAGGAGTGAGGGCCCAGAACAGCAGTGGGGGCCAGGGGTAGCAGCAGCTGTCTCCAGACAGAGACACTGACTCAAGAGGAGGGCAAGAGCCAAAGGGCAGCAGCTGGCAGCAAGCATACCCAATCCCCAGCAGGTCCTCTGCCTGCATCCACAGCCAGTCTGAATTTACCTGCCAGGTGTGTGATTTGCCTGGGTGACCAGCCAGCACCTGTGCATCACACAGAAGGCCCAAAGCCTTGCTTTGCTTGCTTCCTACTCAGGGCCACCACTGCCACCTGTACCATGGCGTCAGGCCAGCCCTGGCATGGCACAGAGCTGGCACTGGTTGAATAAGGGCACATTCTTGCAGGAAGTGCTCCTCTGGCCTGCAGCAAGTGGGGGGCAGGAGAGGGGAAGCGTGCCACCCTGCCTGTCCCCTGCCAACCGCAGCTCCCACAGAAAATGAGGGGAAGGGGATGCTGGTTCCCAACAAGCCCCCTTCCTAATGTTTCTCTCTCCTGCCACCTCTAGCTGCTTGGTGCACTGTGGGCCGAGACTGACCACATCCCCAAGGCCCTGAAGATGTGCCCACCGCCCTTCCCCCTCTTCTTGTAAAGGACGCCCCCTCTTTTCTAGAAACTTTGGTACATGAGCTGTCTTTTCAGTATACTTCTAAACAAGAATGTATTTTCCCCACTGTTTGGCGTGAAGGAGGGCCCCTTCCCCCTGGCATCTCCCACACCCCCCACCCTCGCTGGCAGGGCAGTGTCTGCACTGCTGGGGTCCTGCTGAAGCCAGAGGTTGTCGTTGACAGGGGAGGCTTCCTCGAACCAGCACCCAGCCTCTCATTCCTGGCCTCTCCTCCCACCCTCGAGTGGCCATGCATGACCAGCCCCCACCACGCCCAGTCCGTCTCTGGCCTCCCTCCTACTCTAGTGGCTGAGGCTCAGCAGGACTCCCCCTGGCCAGCCACCACCTCTCTCCTCTTCCCTTCCTCATTGACATCCCTCCACTTAGTAGGAGCCGTGACCCCGTAGTGCCCAACCTAGCCTGGGCTGAGCCCACGTGTGGTGGTAGAACCCATATAATCAGTGCCAGTATAGTAGACAGCAACTGGTGGGCATCAGCACCAATAAACTCTGGCTGGGAATGATGTGTGTTATGTTTCTGTGTCCCGTTTTCTGGTTCCTAATAGCTGGGGGAGGTGAGTTGTCAGGGTGCGTGGGGCACCGGGCAGCATCAATTCAGGACAGCCCTTTATTTGCTCTGAAACTTTAACCAAGTCCCTCTGAGTCTCAGTTTTCTTATCTGTAAAATGGAGGTGATAACTTCATGGTGTAGGTATTTTGACAAATAAGCTCATGCCTGTTGTAAAGTTCAGGGTCCTCAAGACCACCCTCAGGCTCAGTAATTCACTAGGACTCAGCAAAGCAGTTCTAGTTCAGTCATGGCTTATGACAGCAAAAGACTCAGACTGAAATCAGCAGAGGGAAGAGGCTCACGGGCAGGGTCCAGACAAGGCCCAGAGCTTCCAGCAGAGTCATGCAGACCGCACGTAATTCTCCCAGCAACAAGGTGTGACAACATGCCCGGGGTACTGGCAACCAGGAACGCTCCCTGAGCCTCATGTCCAGAGTCTTTACTGGGGCCTGGTCACTTAGAGTTGGCTGACCACCCAGGTGGCTGACACCACATGGCCTTAGCATGGACTATATGGTACGGCCCAAGGCCCCAGGCAAACAAAGACACTTACCAGGCAAGACACTCCAAGGCCAAAGGCCAGACCGACCACTCTGTAAACACAGTTAACCACGGCACACCTGTAAATGAGCTATTCTAACAAGACAGGGAGACCAAGACTGAACTCGAAATAATGTTTTATGTCCTATTCTAGAAGCTTTGCAACTTCATCTCTTCCATTTCTCTGTCCTGGTTAGCAGGAAAGACTGTCACACAGGAAAGTCTCAAGGGACCAGGAAGGGAAGAGTAGTGGGTCCCTCTCCTAAGTCAGGACAGACCGGAGGGCATGTGGGGAGGTGACGACCAGGAGTTGCCAAGGCGTGGGGAGTAGGAAGGGAGATGACAGTGCTGGTCGGGCCCAGAGAAAGGCCCTGAGCCAGGGCAGCAGCATCGCAGGGCGCAGTGAGAGCCCCAGGGCAGTGGGCTGGGAACGGGCATCTCTCCAACAGTGGCTCCAAGCCTGGCAGAGCCGGGAGCGGCCAGCCAGCGAAACATGGTCATTATTAATGCCGTACCACCCAGCGAGGTCCCTGTCCCCATGGCTGCCTGGAGCCTGGTGCCTTGAAGCCCCCACACCCATGGCGGGTTCCATCCTCCTGCTTGTGTCCTGCCGCCTCCCTACACTGATGCTGGCCACTCACGCAAATCCAGTGAAACAGGGTGTGGGTTTGTGCAAAGAGTACAGTGGGGATTCGGGTCTCAGATGTGCATCTCTGAGCTGAATGTCCTTGCACCAGCCTCTCAGAGCCTCTCTTTTCCCATCTGTGAAGTGGGTAGAAGACCCCCCCCCCACTTCAAAGGACCAGGAATGGCCTGGCTGGTGACAATGCCACTTACTGGGCTCCCGCTGCAGCACCCGCAAGCATAGAGCTGCCTGCCCGCCCCCCAACAGCTGAGCTGCTTTAAAAATAATATTCTCAGGGGGCTGAGGCTCTTCAGGGTGCAACGAGGAACCCCGGCCGGCTGGGCACGTTGAGTTTCTTCCATGCATCACTCCTCTTGCTGAGCGCCCTGCACGCCATCTCTGCTGACTGCCGCCCACAAGTGCTTAGAGCCTCCAGAGCCTCAGAATCTGAGTGGGCGGGAACGGGCTCCAAACAGAACAAATTTCAACCCTAAAAGGTATAAGCGCTCCCACTTAATTTACACTTCAGAGCCAGGCACGGGGCCAGGCACCTGGCAGACATCATCTCCCTCAGTGCTCACTGCGCCGTCCTGCACTCGGCAGATGGGAAATGGAGACGCAGAGAGGGCAAGTAACTCGCCAGAGGCCACACAGCAAGTAAGTGGCTCAGGTTAGACCCAAACCCAGAGCTAATTGCCCCCGTCCTGTGCCCGGCCACCGCACCACACGGCACCAATGCAGGGGAGCAGTGGTTCCAGATTAATCCATTAAGATCCAGATTGGGTTCCTCAAAAGTTAAAGATAGAATTACATATGACCCAGGAATTCCATTCCTGGGTATACAATATACCCAAAACAATTGCAAAAAGGCATTCAAACAAGTAATTTTGCACAGGTATTCATAGCAGCACTATTCATAGTAGCCAAAAATCAAAAACCAAAAAAAAACACAGAGTAGCCAAAATATGGAAACAACCCAAATGTCCATCACCCAGTGAGTGGATAGGATATGGTCTATCCGAACAGTGGGATCATAAAAAGGAAGGAAGAACAGACACATGCTACAGGACAGATGAACCCTGAAACAGCATGAGGACCACTGTATGATCCCATTTACACGAAATGTTCAGAACAAGCAAATCCACACAGACAGAAGTAGACCAGTGGTTGCCCGGGGTGGGGTGGGGGATGGGGAGTGACTGCTTCACGCACGAGGTCTCCTGTGAGGTAATGGAAACGTTTCGTACTAGATGGAGGCAATGGGGGCACAGCACTGTGATTGTGTTAAATACCCCTGAACTGTACACCTCAGAGTGGTTCATTTTATGTCATATGAATTTCACCTCAATTTTTAAAAATCCCAATCAACTCACCTGTGCAAACAGAGTTCACCACCTGCACTCAACTGGTGGACCCGCGTCTTTACTGGACCCTGTTCAAAACCTAGACCACCCACAGTAGTCTGCAGAGGCACCGTGTGTGGGGCAGGTGGCCCGCAGCACCCTGGGCTGGGCCCTGAGCCTGCGGGAAGGTGCTTCCAAGGGCACTCAGAGCCCCTGGCAGCAGCGATGCCCGGGGCTGGAGTACATGTCATTTGTACTACAAAATGTCACTTGGCCATGTTCAAAGCGGTTATGTGAGACATATAGGTCTCTACACGCAAGCGCAGTTGTCACCATTGGCTGGGAGCTTATGACAGGCCAGGCTTTGTGCTTTTGTGCTGAGGGCTTTGCAAGGAAACCTCAGCCTGTCCTCACAGCTACCCTAGGAGAGAGGGGCTGTCCTCAGCTTTGTTTTAGAGGAAGACAAAGAGGACCAACACCTAGGGCCAGAGGATGCTGAGACTGAGAACGGCACTGGCGGAGGTTTTCCTGTGTTAGCAACCCAAGCACAGGCCTGTTCAGAGAGGGGACAGGCTCTGTCAAGCCCACACAGCTGGTAAGTGACAGACAGAGCCAACTCAGATCTTCCAGACCCAGAGCCCATGCTTGAGGCCCTGAGGTGCCCCAAGGACACCACTTTTAGCCCTTCCTTCACCCAGCTGCTGTCCAAAACTTGAGGGAGCCACTTAGTATTTGAGCAGGACAATCCAAAAGACACTTCCCACCTTCCTTTATTGGGTAAGATGTCAGAGGGTGTCAGCGCAGTCTGCATTTGTCTGACTGCATGAGGCCACGTCCTTGCATTATGATGGTTAATTTAAAGCCAGTCATGTGAGGATCACATCTGTACCTGTCACAGAATCGAGATGGAAACCTTTGTCCCCACTAGTGTATTCAGTCACCCCTTAAAGAGCCCTGCCCTTGCCTCTTCTTAGCATTCAGTGCTAGTCCACGTCCCTCCTGGTGTGTTTGCTGCTTTTGAGTGAGCCCTCACATCCTCGTATTTCTCTTTTCCCCTTCACTACGAGGAAGCTCAGTGTTCCCCTGACAATCTCAACCTGGGTTTTCTGGAAATACAACTACGATTGCTTGGGTCCTTATTGTGTGTGAGACATCCTACCAGCTGCTCTAGATACCACCTTTAATTCTCACAATTCTCACAATAAGCCCACATTGTACACAATAAGCCTGCTCCATTTTGCTGGTAGGAAAACCAATTCTTAGAAAAGATGCATGCATTTTCCAAAGCTTTAAAATAGCAAGTGGCAGAGCCAGTGTCCAAAACCAATATCCATAGATGGCAGAATAGACAGTCCCCAGCATCACTCTCTCCCACAAATCAACCAATGTACAACTATGAAAAAGCAATGACAGCCAAGCTGGGGCCACTAGAGCTCAAGGGAAGAGGAGGAGAGACTTATGGAGTGCATGAAGGTGGGCGAAGCCACAATGAGAGAAAGAAAAAACCCCTCTGTTTCGAATCCCAGCCACTTCCAGGCTGGAGCTGCTGAGCACATGGAGCAAGAGCTGGCAAAAATTGCAATTGTGCCCTTCGGATGAAGTTGCACAGTGTGCAACTCCCCTGAGGTGGCAGGGGAGATGAGGGCCTTGGTGGCCCCCAGGCCAGCAAGACCACTAATAGGGTTCTCATGGACCCACATACGAGCAAGGAGCCACAACAACTGAAAAAAGAGAGCCACTCAGGGGCTGGTGAATCATCTCAAGGGACTGGCGCGTGACCCGTCCCATGGGAAGTGTTTGCAGCATGGGCAGTGGGGGAGATGGGCCCATCAGGGGAACACTGGGGCACAGCAAGGACAGCTGATCTGCCCCCCAAACAGCATAGGACCACTCAGAGGGGACTGGTCAGGAATACAGAATTGCATGGGATGCAGTTTGATGAAAAGACTCAGGCCCAGACCAGAGTTTCTACACAACCCAGCTGCATCAGATTTCACTAGACCTGGAAGCACCTATAAAGTCAACCATTAAAACCTGAGCTGCACAAAAAGCCTTCCCTAGTGAATCAGCAGCAAAGCAGCAATTTAGCTCAACCACACAGTTCCAATACTGGTCTTCGCAGGAAGTTCCCGTTTTAGAAATAAGCAAAGGACAACAAATTAGTTCCAGTGCAGAGTTTAAGTGGTAGGAATAGCAAATAATCCAACACAGAACTGAAAGAAAAAACAAAGTACCCGCAACCAGAGACAAAGTTTGATATAAACTAGTCCACACAGTTCCAATACTGGTCTTCGCAGGAAGTTCCCGTTCTAGAAATAAGCAAAGGACAACAAATTAGTTCCAGTGCAGAGTTTAAGTGGTAGGAATAGCAAATAATCCAACACAGAACTGAAAGAAAAAACAAAGTACCCGCAACCAGAGACAAAGTTTGATATAAACTAGTAAAGGTCTCATTCCACCAAAGACACCTATAACACTTTGAAGGACCAGAAGTCCCCTGGGCTACCAAGCCAGAAAAGGGGGAGGGCTGGGGGCCTCAGCAATGCCCCCCAACACCTGCAACCAGTCCCAAGGGTGGGGGACGAGGGCCTCGGTCACACCCCCTGACATGCACAGCCAGCCCAGTGATGACCACTGAGCTGCTGCAGGAAGCACCCTGGTCTCTCCTGAGCCGGGGTGGTGGGGGGCCAAGGGTCTCAATCACACCCCCCAGACACATGCAACCAGCCCAGAGATGACCACCAAGCCACAGCAAGAAGGGCCCCGGGATCCTGAGCTAGGGTGGTGGGGGGTGAAGGCTTTTGTCACACACCCCCTGACATCTGCATCCAGCCTGGCAATGACTAAGCCACCACTGGAAAACCCCCGTCTCCCCTGTGGGAATGTGTGGGGTGCCATGGGCCTCAATCCCACCCCCCTCCTTCCTCCTTCTTCCATCCCATTTCCTTCCTCTTTCCCCTCCCTCCCAACTGCTCTGCAACATCCTAGAATGTAAAAAATAATATTAATTAAATTACATTTTCTTTTAAAAAAGAAAAAACAATATCCAACTCCAAAGCCAGTTCGTACACAGCCTCCTTTTATGGCATGACCCTCACCCTGCCACGCTTTGTTATTCCAGGACACTGTGAATGGTCCCATCACAACCCCAGCCTTCCTGGCCAGTGCTGCAAAGCCTTCTAGGAAGCAGACAGGGTATAAATAATAAATGAATGACTCACTGTCTGCTCTGGGATGATAAATACACCATTAAAGCAATTCTGCCCAGCACATGTCCTGGTTCCCAAGGCCCTACCTGGGAGGACACCATGGCCACTGAACATGGGGCGTGGCAGGTCATGGTGGCGCTGGTTAGAGAAGACCTGGAGAAGGGTTCGGTGTTCTCCTCATAGGGTAGAGTCTGTACTTGCAGCCACACCTCCCCCCTCCACCAGTGGTGCAGAGAGCTCCTCCCTGCCCCCAGGGCCTGCACACTAGTCCCCACCCCTGTGTGGAGAGGAAAGAGAATGGAGGCCGCTGGGTTCTCACTGGTTAGAGCATGGTGCTGACAACACCAAGGTCCAGCTGGAAAGAAGGAAGGAAGGAAGGGAGGAAGGAAGGAAAGAAAAGAAAGGAAATGGATGATGAAATTTAACCCTAAATTGTTTCTGATCCCAGCTCTGTACCTCACAGGACAAGCAGCCTTGACTGTCCCAAGCCTCGGTTTCCTCTCTTGTAAAATGGACACGTCTGAAAACATCATGGCAAGTCATAGGGGCCAGACACAAAGGACAGGGAATGTCCAGAACAGGCAAACCCAGAGAGACTGAAAGTAGATTCCCGGCTGCCTGTGGCCAGGGGAGGGAGAAATGGGTACGAAGTTTCTTTCCCGGGTGGTAAAAGCGTCACAGCATTAGATAGTGGCGGTGGCTGCACAGCTCTGTGAATATACTAAAAAACGCTGAGCTGTACACTCTAAGCGGGTGAATGTTCTGATACGTGAATTCTATCTCGGTTTTAAAAATTCATGCATGTGGACTGACTGGAAAACACAATGAAAGTGGACCTATCACCACCGCCCTCACACGGTCATGTACACAGTAGCTACATCACACAGGAGGAGCCTGGCCCACTGCCTCCCCAGGGAGGTGTCCTGGAATGTCAGTCCCTCCCTCCTGGCTCTGGAACCACTGGCTTCTTGGAGGACAACCTGAGGCAGAGAAGAGTGGCCCGAATCCAGCAACATCGGGATGTTCCCGATGCCCCGTGCAGGGTCAGTGCTGGGGAACACGTGGACAGGGAACAGCCGGGCCCTTCCCCACCTCTCCACCCCTCTGCCTGCCTCCCTTCTCCCCCTCACCTCCTTTTCCTTACCCAGGCCCTGAGACAGACCCTTTGTCCTCTCTCTTCCTCCACTGCAGTGACTCCTTGCCCAGAATTGGGGTGGGGTCAGGTGGGAACTACAGAGTGAATGGTTCACTTGGCTTCCAGGCTCTTCAGGTCCAGTTGGTGCAAGGGAAAGGGAGCTTTCCTTGGGTCCCTCCACCCCACCCCATTGAGCATGGGCGAAGTGCACAGTTGTGTGGCCTGTTCTGGGCACTCATCTTCTTGGGCATCTCCTGGTCAAGGGCACAATTTTGGCATTTCTCGTGCCCTGGCCAGAGGACCAGCCTGAGTCCACAGCCACCCCATGCATGCCACCTTGACCCTCCTCCTGGCTCCCATCCACTGTGTACCATCCCCCAACAATGCCTTTGATCCCACACCCCGAAGCAGGGCTCTCTGGGCCTTGGCCCCCACCTCCCTTTTATGGGTTGAGTTGTGTCCCCAAGAAAGATAAGTTGAAGTCCTAGACCCTGGAACCTGTGAACGTGACCTTATTTGGAAACTGGATCTTTGCAGATCCTAAGTAATTGAGATGCAACCAAGTTAAGATAACACGATACTCAATTAGGGTGGGCCCTAATGGATTGACTGGTGTCTTTGTAAAAAAAGGGAAATTTGGACACAGAGATGCACAGGGAGGAGGCCACGTGGTGACAGAGGCAGAGACTGGAGTACAACATCTACAAGCCAAAGACACAGAGGTTGCTGGCAGCGCCAGTGCTGGAGAGACGGGAAGGAGTCTCCCCTGGAGCCTAGAGGGGAAGCGTGGCCCTGTTGACACTTTGAATTTGGTCTTTGGCCTCCAGAACTGTGAAGCGATACATTTCTATTGTTTTAAGCTACTAGTCTGTGGTCATTTGTCGCTGCAGTCACAGGAACCTAGTAAAACCACTCCTCACTTTTGCACAAGAAACGCTTTGAACTAGCCAAGCCCAAACGAGCAGTCCGAGAAGGCAGAAAGGGTCAGTTTCTCCGCATGTTTATGAAGAAAAGAAGTTCCATTGGTGTCACGGCTGCAGGCGCAGGCCCCTTCCTGCCTGGGGCCCTCAGAACAGCTGCAGGACAGCTGCCACCATGCTCTGCCCAAAGATGAAGGTGCCGACCAGCACAGAGACCACTCCCCAGACCTCCAAGCAGCACCTGCCAATTCAATAAATTCACATAAGCATGAGCTTTGCTAGATTCTTGCACAGACAAGCCAAGCCCATTTAAAAGCCTGGTAAAGTCATCAGTTTGGAAATAATTCAGAGTATTCTCCTGTACTTCTCAGGGTGGGCTTTTGAGACATGATAAAGTACACAGGCAATTAAAAAACAAACTCTCTCACTCCATCTATTATTTCGTCACCTCGTTCCTCCCCAATATTTTTATTAAAGGAAAAGAAATGGGGGGAGGGCAGACACTAGTTTTAAACCCCCTGCCATTCTGCTCCCCAGTGTCTGCTGAGACTCCCTGAAAGTGAGGGAGTTGCCGAAAGCTCTAAGTCACACAATTGGGACGAGCATGGAGGAGGCAGAGGTTGGGATGGCTTCAGAATGTGACCAGAGACGGGGGCAGACAACAAGACTAGCGTGATAATAAGATTCCCACAAAATGACAGGGCCACCAGGGACACTTCTGGCCCCATTAACAAAGGCCAAAAGGATCCGTTGTCATGGAAGGGGCGTCTCTAACCAAGCAACATCCCAGCGGCTGCTCAAAGCCATGAATGTCCTTTGACATGAAGGGGGAAATGAGGTGGCCATGGCTGTGGCTACAGCTGTGATGGATCAGAAGGACCTAGATAAAAATATCTTGAAAGCTCATCAGTAAAAGCTGTTGTGAGCTTGGATCAGGGATAAAACAAAAGCCGTGAGGCTTCAAAGAGTGCCCCAGGGAAGGAAGCACTTGGAGGCCCCAGACCATCGGGGGCCAGTTCTAAGCCCAAATCAGGTTTAGAGAATCCAGAAAAACTGCTCTCAATCCAGAAGGGAACCAAGCCAAGCCTGCTCCTTTGGAAAAAAAACAAGCTTGGGCTCAATGGGGCTGGAGGAACAGGGGATACAGGGATCAGGCCTGCAGCTGGAACCCAAGTCCATGACTGCTGTAACTTAAGAGCATCTGTAGCGGGCTGAATGGTGGCCCCTGAAATTCATGTCTGCCTGGGGCCTGTGAGTGGGACCTTATTTGGAAAACGGTATTTGCAGATGTAATTAAGTGAAAGATCCTGAGACGAGACCATCCTGGATTTAGGGTGGGCTCTAAATCTAATGACAGGTTCCTTATCAGAGGGAGATTTCAGATACAAAGGCAGAGATTGTAGTGATGCGGCCACAAGCCAGGGGACACCTGGGCCTACCAGAGCCAGAAGGGCCTTCAGAGAACACGGCCCTGCCCACACCTTGATCTCAGACTCTGGCCTCCGGAACTGAGAGAAAATACATTGCTGTTGCTTTAAGCCCCCCAGCTTGTGGTAATTTTTACAGCAGCCCTGGGAAACTAATACAAGGGTACTTCAAAAAGTTTCTGGAAAAATGTAATCAAAAGATAATACAAATCTTTCCACTAACTTTTTGAAGACAGCCTCCCTTTCCCAGTCTCGGCCTGGTTTTCACATCTGCAGAACGGGAATAAGAGTCACACAGGCCCTGATCCGTGCACACAGTTCCCTTTTCAGCGGGGTCAGCTGCTGGATGGCAAAGCACAGGTCTCAGTCCCGTCTGACACATGGGCTGGCCAAGAGGGGGAGGGCACCCTGAGAGACATGTGTTGAGTGAAGGGTGACCCCAGTCTCTTGTCTAGCCAGTGGCACAGAGCAGAGACCGAGGTATGCTGGGGCCTCAGTTCTGCTGGGCCTGATCCAGCTCTGTCCTTACTGGCCTGATCATCCTCCTGGTGTGTAGGGTGGAGACACCCAGTGTGGAGGAAGACCAGAGTGTAAAGGGGCCAGCGTGGTGCCCTGCACAGAGGAGGCACTCAGCAAGGACCTGACAGTGGGCAGTGTGGCCCTGGTGTCCAGCTAGCCATGGGGCCTCCATAGGACCTGCCTGGGTCTGCGCTGGGTAGCGAGGGAGGGGGAAGATGCACTAGGGGCCTCCCTCCAGAGGCTGGGGAGAGCCCAAATCCACATTAGTCCTAACCACAGACCCTCAGAGCAGAAGGGACAGCCACCCACAGGCGGAAGAATGCTGGCTCGGATGCCCTCCCCACACAGATGAGGTCCCTCCCCCATGGCCTGCAGGTTTCTCATCTCCTGGATGAGAAGATGGACAATAGGATCTCCACAGTCCCCTGTGGCATCCTCACTCTGGTCCCCTGGGTGCACCAAAGTTGCCACCCTCATCTTGGAGTCACTTACTTGAGTCTTGGTCCTATGGGCTCGACATCCACGGCACAGATGAGGCACAAACCTGCAAAGAAGACACGGGGTCACCCCCAGCTCTTTGTGACCACACCTAAAGCCATGGAGAGTTCCCGTGAGCCCTGTCAACACCAAGAAGTCCTCAATGCCCAAAGATGGCCACACTGGCTGAGTCCCCTCCTGGCGAGGCAGCATGGTGCAGGGGTTAAGGGCCAGCTTCAGAGCTAGAAGGATGGACCTCCCCATGACTTGGCCACAGGTCTGGCAACACATTGGCTTCTCTGAGCCTCAGTTTTTTGGGTGACCACAATGACACACCCTCCCCAGCAGGGTTCCTGTGAGGACAGGTGCAGATCGGTGCCTGACATCTGGGCAGTGTTCAACCACTGGCAGCGCCATTGTTTCCTTCTCCTTTCTTTTCCTTCTTTTTTAAAAATAGGTCTATTGGGATTCAAAGCCAGGCAGCTCTGCCCAAAGCTCCCATGGAACCGTCTCCCATCCCAAACCTGTCCTAGGCAGTCCTTTCCAGCACAGGAAATAGCTGGAGCTAAAAGGCACTTCCCAGGACATGCAGCCACACTGGGCCCGGGCAGCCCCAGACCAGGGGAGGCTAGGCGAGGAGCGATCTGACCATCCTGCTCAGAACGGGGGACAGAGTGGGGACCAGCAGGCTATTGATGATGCCGTCACTGCCCACTTACCTGGGCCCCTGAATAATGTTTCATTTCCCCATTCAAGTTTGGGAGAAACTTTTAAAAGCCTCCATATTAACAGGCTCCTACCTCTCACCTATTTGATATAGGGGCTGGGTTGGGCATCAGGGACATGGGGATAAGGGTCGCCCGAGTTCAACATCTGCTTGACGTGGTTCCTCTCATGGCAGAATTGTAGGGTCCACTCATGGAGCATGCACTGGTGGAACACCTACTGTGTGCCAAGTGCCCACCATGTACTGGGCACCTACTCTGTGCCCAGTGCCCACTGTGTGCCAGGCATCTACTGTGTGCTGGGCACCTACTGTGTGTGGACCCCCTGACTGCCCCTGTGGGTCTGGGGTTTCTGTTCCGAGCACCAGTCGGCCCTCCAATGCTCCTCCTTCCTCTGGAAGCGTCCCTCTGGGCTTGGCCTTGCTGGGTTTCCTGTCTGGGGTAACATGCTTGACTGTTTTGACGGGAACCTCTCCCCATTGCTCGCTAACACTGGGAAGGTTTCATAAGAAGCCATCCAGGGCAGAAGCGGCGTGCGCCTGCAATGCCGGGCGAGTGGGAGGGAGACTTTCCCAGCGCGCCTTGTGCATCTTCAGCCATATAAGTTTCACATACTCATCCACCTTGTATTTTTTATTTATTTTTTAAATTTATTTTATTTTATTTTTTTAAAAGATGACCGGTAAGGGGTTCTCAACCCTTGGCTTGGTGTTGTCAGCACCACGCTCAGCCAGTGAGCCAACCGGCCATCCCTATATAGGAATCCGAACCCGTGGCCTTGGTATTATCAGCACCGCACTCTCCCGAGTGAGCCACAGGCCGGCCCTCACCTCGTATTTTTTAAATAAAATAAAATTCTACAGCGGGAGGCAGCAGGGTTAACGCTCAGCCCTGCTACGCACCACTGCGACCCCGGGAGTGGGTCTCCAGGCCTCAGTCTTCTCATCTGTGGGGTGGGATGATAAAGTGCGTCCACCGGGCCGCTGAGATGTTGAAGGAGGGAAGCTATTAAAGCCCCAGCCCGGCCCTGGCTCAGTGACCAGGACACCTCCATGGGGCCCAACCCTCTCGCCGCAGGGCTCCCACCTTCCAGGACCTTGTCCTGCAGCACAGGGAGTGGCCACAGAGGCGAGCTGCGGAAGCCTGGAGAGCAGGAGACTCACCCGGAAAGATGAAGATGAAGAAGGAGCTGATACTGCCGATGACGCCGATGATCTCGCTCAGGTCGGGCACGAGCAGGGCCAGGGCGAGTGTCACGGTGACCCACAGGATGGTCAGTGGCATCCGGACCCACGGCCCCGAGGGGTCGGACAGCACCCAGGCTCCCCAGCAGCCCCTCCTCCAGCAATCCTGCATCACCGACCTGGAGGCCACACCCGCCACAGGCAGGGGCTCCAGCCAGCACCTGCTGCCGGGCGCCCGAGTCCTCCCGTGTCCCCCACACCTGGCGGGGCTCCTGTTCCACACCAGGGGACCTCACCAACCCTCAGCCATTCTGCCACCATGAGGCGGCCGACAGGGGCAGCAGGGTGGGCTTGGGTTCCAGTCCCGGCTCTAACACTTGTTAGCTGGGCAACTTTGGGCAAACTCCCTAAATTCCCTGTGGCTCTGGTTCCTCCTCTGTGCAAGGGGGATGATGACATCCCACAACACGCACTAGCAAAGGCTCGGCACACGCTGAATGACGACACACACCAGTGCACCGTGGTCAACAGTGTCTCCACCGATCCAGGCCTCACCTCCCCAGGAAGAGCACGATGGGATAGACAGTCACAATGGAGACAGCAAAGAGGACCCGGGCGACGATGACGACCACGTCGTTACCCGGGTAGGACATCAAGACGTCAGCAGAAACTTCAGTCCCAAAGGTTAGGAAGCCATAAACCCCTGGGGGCAACAGAGGATGGAAGCCAGGGAGAGTTGAATGGGAAGATGCACCCCCAGACCCTGCAACACACTGACAGTGCCAGCTTTACCACCCTGAGGTTTTCCTTAGGAGCTGACAGAAGGTTCTGGAAGGGCTCTCCATTCTGCCATTTCCCAAGGCTTTCCTGTCCCAAGCCTACATGTTGCTCTGCTCCACTGACTCAATCTCCTGCAGACAAGCCTGCCTTGTCCTTTCGTGTCATCCACAGAGCTCGTGCCTATTTGTAGAGAGTGTATTGACTAGAAGCACATAGCACTTTGAAATATATAAACACACTCCCAATGCCCTGGCCATCCCACTCTTACAACAGCTAAAGAAAGCAGCTGGCCATGCACCCACTTTCCAGGTAAGGAAAATCAAGACCCAGGGCGTCAATGACTGTCCAGAATCACACAGCTGGTTATGGCAGGACCAGGACCAGAGAGCCCCTCGCCCAAACACAACACTGCTCCCCTCACCCTGGGTCACCAGCTTGTCCTGAGGCACTCACTTTTGGCCAAAAGCTGTGGCACTTTCTGAGAGGACCCACAATCCTGCTGGCCCTGGCCCTGGGGCCATCTGGAGGTGACGCTCAATCAGTTAGTCATGGCTCTCTGACAGGACCTCCCCTGCTTGGGAAAAGGTCACCCAGCAATTGTCTTGGGTAACCATGGGAGTCCAGAGCTGCCGGACAGATTCGCTGCTGCCTGAGGGCTTTCTAAATCCAGGGCTCCACTAGGTGGGTGAAAGAAAGAGCCTCTGGGCTGGAGCAAAGTGGAGGCCAGAAGTCAGGCCGTGCCCTGGGTCTGTGCCACAGACATGCTGTGTGACCTCAGGCCTGTCACAGCCGCCCTCTGAGCCACAATTTTGTCAACTTTGAAGATCCTGGGGCCGGCCCGTGGCTCACTCGGGTGAGTGTGGTTCTGATAACGCCAAGGCCACGGGTTCGGATCCCACATAGGGATGGCCGGTTCGCTCACTGGGTGAGCGTGGTGCTGACAACATCAAGTCAAGGGTTAAGATCCCCTTACCGGTCATCTTTTAAAATAAAAATAAAATTTAAAAAAAAAACTTTGAAGATCCTCTACTGCATAGTCTGTGAGCACCCCAGGCCATCAAGGCTACGAGGGTGTTTGCACGTCTAGCTGTGAGGGCTCAGGAGAGCCATGGAAGCCCCTGAGCCTCAGTTTCCTCATTTAAGAAACAGGGCCCTTGCCTGTGGGGTGCTAAGGATTAAATGAGCAAAAGCACCCGAAATGCTGGGCACTGTGCCCAGCACATGGCAAACTCTCCAAAGTACTTGTTGTTGCTCCCGTTTCTATGCCGCTCCCCGCCCACCTCCGGGGCGCCCCAGGTGAGGCCTCGCCTGGCAGGCAGGGCCCCTACCTGTCAGCGAGTAGACAAGGCAGCAGGCCAGCAGGGAAAGCACCGAAACCAGGGCCCAGTGGGAGAGGCGCTGGTTGTGCATGCTGCAGTAGATGGAGACGGCCGCTTCATGACACTGGAAGACAGAGGGCTGGCTCAGTGGGACCTGCGCCAGGGGGTGTTAGACCGCCTGGGGGGATTTAAAAATATTGGTGTCGAAGAGATGGGAAACACGCACATGTCCACCAGCAGTAGAGGACAGTAAATCGCAGGACGCTCGTACATGGAATATCACACAGGGCTGAAAAGAACCAACATGCACCTCGCACCTCAACTGGAAGAGCCTCACAGACACACGCTGAAAGCAAGAAGCCAGACGACAGAGAATGCTTCCGTTGATGTGAGGTCAGGTCCCAAGACAGACAAATCCACAGCCGTGCTCCTCGACCTTGTACAGCTGACATCTGGGGTGGGATAGTTCCTCGTGGAGGGGCTGTCCCGTGCACTGGAGGGCATCGTGTAGCATTTCTGGCATCCACCCACTAGATGACAGTAACAGCACCTGCCCCCCAGTTGCGAAAACCTCCAACATCTGCAGACATGGTCAAAGGTCCCCTGGGGGGCACAGTCGTCCTGCTGAGAACCCCTGCACTATGGTGGTAGAAGGCAGGATAGTGGTTGGGGCGGGGTGGGTACCACTGACTGGAAAAGGTCACCACAGGGCCTCCCAGGGGGCTGTCAATGACACATGGGAGCACACATACTTATCACATACTTTACGGTAATATGTTACATAGTCATACAAATTTTAAACGTAAAATGTATACAGCCAATGCCAAGAGCCCACCTGGATGTGGATTTCCTTTATATGGGCAGGTCCTGGACACTGGTGTTTCACCAGCAGTCAAGGGGACCCTGACATGCCGCCAGGGTAGAGAGGTGCGCCTGCATCTGGAGGTGCCCGTGGGTTCTGGGTTTTTCCAGGGCTCCTGGGACAGTCTTCCCCCCTCACGCTCACTTGCTCCCATCTGTTCAAAACCAAACATGCTGATGCCTCCCTCCCTCCCTCCTGTCCCCAGGTTCCGCTCCCTCTCTGAGCTCAGACCACCAGGGTCCCTCTTCGCTGCCTCAGGGCCTTTGCACTTGCTCATCCTTCAGGAAAGCCCTCCCTAACCAGCCAACGTACTCTCCGTCCCCACATGAGCACATTTGGGCTTGCTTGTTCAGCATCTAATGGCAACTACATGACAGATGGCAAGGACCGTGGCTGCCCTGTTTGGAACTCTGAGCTTGGACCAGGTATGGAGGCTGGTGCATGGCTGAATGGACACTCCAGGGTTACTCGTTTATCTGTCCCTCGAATCCACTGGCAACCACAGGCCTTCCTCCATCCAACCCCGGCTCTCTGCCTCTCAAGTGCTCATCGAGTCCTGCTCAGTGCTGGTCAGGGTTGCCACATAAACAAGCCCCTCACAGTGCCCCCATGAAGCACACGCTCTGGAGGCAGGGGTGGCACCGCCTCACCCCTCCTGGTTCTGGCTCAGGGTGAGCTGAGACATGTCTCCACTGACAGAGCAGCCTCAGGGTGCTGCGCTCTCTGCTGTCTGCCCGGGGGCTGACCTGCAGGAGCCCGCTGGCCTCAGGGACCCTCCAGCAACTGGCAGGGGAACTCCATGGATACCCTCCACCCCCACACTCCTGCAGCACTGCTGGGCGCATCCTGCACACCTCTCAGGATGGTGCATGCACCTGGAGCCCCAGTGCCCACACAGTGACCTCCCTAATGCTCCTATCCCATCTCACCTCTCCTGCTCCCAAACAGACACCAGCACCCTGTCACCATCCCCATCACAGGCTCTGCTTGAAGAAGACCACAGATGACGATCTGCAGTGGGGGACCCAGAACCATGGCTCTGTGTACTAGGGCTCAGCTGAGCCTGATGGAGGGAGAAGACGCTCAGTGGGGCCAGGCATGTTGGTGGCAGGAAGGTGACTTCTCTTCTTCCTGTTTCCTCCACGACTCCCATGGGGGTTTCTACTGGTTTTATAAGGAATAAAGCCCCCTCTCGGAGGCAGGGCTGCTCTGCAGGGACAGCGGCTAGGGAGCGGCTGGGGGGCGCAGGCCCTGTGGTCGCTCAGTGATGGAGGCAGAACAGGGGAAGACGACACGAGAGCCACAGAGTGGAACAACCCAGACGTCCATCAAGGCACAAGCGCACACGCCAAGTGCAGCAGGTCACACGTGGACTGCCACTCAGCCACGAGAACAAACAAGGTACTGATACATGATCCGACGCGGAGGAACCTCGAAAACATGCTCAGTGAAGAAGCCAGTCACAAAAGGCCACATATTATGTGACTCCATTTATATGAAGCGTCCCTTCCAGGCACATTTGTGGAGACAGGAAGCAGATGAGCGGCTGCCAGGAGCTGGGGCAGGGGGAATGGGGAGCGACAGCTAATGGGGACAGGGTTTCCTTTGGGGGTGTGAAAAGGTTCTGGAATTGACTGTGGTGACGGCTGCACATGTCTGTGGAGATACTGAAAACTGCTGCCTTGTACACTTTAGAAGGGCACACTGCATGGTGTGTGATCTCAGTAAAGCCGTTTAAAGAAACACACAAAACCCAGAGGTCCCAGTGTGGCCATGGTGGCTGGGAGTGCACCCCGTGCCCCCCCCGAGGCCCCCTCACCGACTCTGTACAGGCTTGGGGGAGGGGTGCCCTATTGTCGGATGAGTCTGGGCAAGGGATGGTGTTTTCGAATCAAGTCAGAGTTCCTGATGACAGTAGGTGACTCCCTTCCTCTCAACCCCTCCAGCCTTGCCCCTCGCCCTCGCCCCATTCCTACCACCTTCCTCCATTTGCTGCCCCCTGCCACCAATTCCTGGCCGCCCCCTGCCTCTGGCCTGAGCCCCGGCCCCCACCCGTGAATTCCTGTCCTTCCCAGCTGCCCATCACGGCATCCCGTGTCCCTGGAAACGGCCGCCCCGGCCTCGGTTGCTAGGAGAGCTGGATGAGGAGCCGAGGCCAGGGAGAGGGGCAGCCCGTGAGCACTGGGAACACGGCCCCGCCGAGTCTGCCAAGCCATATGGTGTTTGGGCACGAGGGGGTTGTTAAACTAAATCCAAACCAGCAGTTGACAGCAAAATCAGCTCTTTAGATCTTTCAAAATATTGGCTGTGCAAGAAGAAATGTGAGACGTGCTCGCATGCTGCTCGCTCAGCCCCGGAGGCGGTGCGCGAGTCGTCTATGGGGAAGACAAATGGAAAAGCTTCAGGATCTTTTCCCAAAATGGCTCTCAAAGAGAATGCAAGAGGAAGAACAGAAACAGGAGCTAGGTGACGGATAAGGGAAGAAAAACACTCAAAGGCTACAAAGCTGAGATACTGTTTTAAGTCCTGGGCAAATCCCCCTTGTGAGCTTGGTTTTTTATTTTGGGACGGTTTTGGTGGTGGTGGCAGGTAAGTGGTTGTTTTTAGGATAGAGGCTAATCTTCCCAGAAACAGAAGTGAAAGATCGGTGTCAGCTGCCACCTGCTAAGAGAGCTGGAGAACCCATCAGCCGGAAGGCAGGGAGCTGAGCCCAGGCCCCCAGTCTCCCCCCAGCACTGTGTGCAGCACCCACATGCCGAGCCCTCTGCAGGTTTCCAAACGTTCCTGACACCATGGCTCACCTGTGCTGTCCTCTCTTACCTGGAAGGCCCTCCCCATCACCTGGCCACCTCCCACATGCTCTTCAAGATTCCTGTTAGACACCACCACCTTTAGTGGGCATCTCTGACTCTGCCCCTCTGCTAGGATTTCACACACAGAACTCTGTCCATGACGTCCTATTACAATTCTGTATATTCTGCCCCTCACCTCCTGCCACTCAGCCAGCCGTACACCTTCCAGCCCCTCCAGCCCGTAAGCCTGGTGAGGTGGGATCTTTCCTCTCCAAGGCCCCTGGGGCAGAATCCACCCGTATAAAGGTGTTCTGGGGTTAGAGTAAGGGAAGCTCCAGGTCTGCAGGCATGTGACAGTCCTGTGAGGATTCTGCAGAGGGGGGTAAGTCCCAGATGCCCCCACTCTGCCCCAGACCCAACGAACGTGGTGTTGTTGATGGCAGTCGGGGGGAGGCCAGGCTCCCGAGTTCAGTGGCAATTCACCCCTCCCCCGGGCACCAACCCCCTTGCAGTCTCCAGAAGACGGCCCATGGGCTGAGAGCCCATCTCACCCTAGAAAACGTCCTCAGACTTCTCCCTGACAGGGAGGCCAAGCCCTCCCAAGGCAGCAGGAGTCACTCACAGCCTCTGAAAATGCCAGTCTTCAACACGGATGCTAAAATTACCTGAAATCCAAAGCAGATGGTGGGGAAGACACTAAACACAGAGGTCCAGGAGGAAGGGCTGTAAATAGACAAGAACAGGTGTTTATTAAAAAAAGAGTTAAACACAAGACAACCTTCAACTTGAGAAGATGAATTTTAAATGATACAGGCAAATGTAACTGAGCATGGCTGTGAGATACATTTCTAATTACTGTGTCCATGACCAGGGCTTTGGGGATAGAAAAGGATGCTTGTGAAATGCTGCACTTTCTAAATACGCCTTGGCTGACATTTGGTAACATGACATTCTCCACATGGGCAGAATGTGGGCAGGGCAATGGCTAGAAGGAGCCCCCAACTTCCCTCCTGGGCTGCCTGTTCCCTATGCTCAGGTGTTGATTCCAAATAGCATAAGCCACCTGAGAGGACAGAGGTGGGCACAAGGCAGGACCTTCACGTCAAGCCCTCTCAGTGGTCCCCAGGGGGGTGCCCAGCTTCCTTCAACAAGCACATCTACACACCAGCCTCTGGCACCTACAGGGGACATACAGCAGAGTGGGATATGAACAGCACCCCCTGCCGAGCCAGCATTCCTCAGCTGTGGCATAATAATGGCCTCCAAAGAGGTCCAAGTCCCAATCCCAGGAGCCTGTGAATATGTTACCTTATGAGGCAAAAGGGACTTTGCAGATGTGGTTAAGGACTTTGAGAAAGAGAGATGATCTTGGGTTATCCAGGTGAGCCCAGTGTAATCACCCGAGTCCTTGAAATCAGAGAACCTCTCCTGGCAGTGTCAGAGGGAGCTGTGACTAAGGGGCATGCAATGCGGCTGGCTCTGAAGAAGGAAGAAGGGCTGTGAGCCAAGGAATGCAGGCGGCCTCTAAAAGCTGGAATAGGCAAGGGAGGAGATGCTCCCCTGCAGCCTCCAGAAGAAACACAGCCCTGATGACTCCCCGGTTTGAGCCCAGGGAGACCCGTGTTGGACTCCTGACCTCCAGAACTGCTAAAGAATATGTTTGTGTTGTTTTAAGCCACTAAGTGTGGGGTCACTCGTTACAGCAGCCACAGGAAGCTGGGACACTGGTGTCTCCCATTCTGCTCCAGCTGACTCCAACTCCGGGTACAGCCCCCTACCACCCCCAGCCACCTGCATTGACTCTCCTTGATGGCACTGTCAGGGGGCAGCTGGCTTTCTAGTCACAATCAGAAACAAACAAACAAACATGCCCATGTTTCCTCTACTCCATCTGCCCACCTGCCAGGCTCTGGGCCCCCACACTCTGTCCCTCCCATTCCTATGGACGAGAAGCCTGAGCCCCAGCCTCAGGCCTATGCCTCTGCCAAGGTGCAGGCTCTCCCCTCTCGCCATCCTGAGGATGCAGATCAGCAGCAGACCTGGCATGCTCCCCGGGCATCGGGTTTTTTTCTTCTCTACTGGATTATCCCCATCAGCACAAAAACATGCTGTGACCTCTGCCCCCATTGACCCCCCGCCTTCAGCCTCTGCTTGTGCCTGCCCCCTCCCCAGGAGAGCTGCCTGTCTCTGCCATCTCTTCTCTTGACCCGAGCCCACCTTGGCTTAGGCTTCCGTCCTTCTCCTGACATAGCTCGTAACTTCACCAACGATCCCCAGGGCCAGCTCCAGTGCTCGGGGTGCAGCAGGCCTGCGTGAGCCCGAGCAGCAGCTGTGGCTGATCCCTCAACCTCCATGAAGTTTATTCACTGACCTCTGGGACCTGATCCCTAATATCCCCTATGCTAGGTTGAATAGTGTCCCCCAAATTCATGTCCACTCAGAACCTCAGAATGTAACCTTGTTTGGAAATAGGGTCTTTGTAGATATAATTAGCTAGATTACGATGAGGTCATGACTGGTGAATCCAATGACTGGTGCCCTTAGAGGAAGAGAAAACAGACCCACAGGGCAAGCGTCATGTGAGGACAGGGGCAAGGACAGGAACACAAGCACTGTTGGCACCGTCGGAAGCCGAGAGGTAGGAAGGAGCTTCCCCTAGAGCCTTTGGAGGAAGTGTGGCCCCGTGACATCTTGATTTTGGACATGGAGCCTCCAGAACTGAGAGAAAAATGTCTGATGTTTTGAGGTCAGCCAGGCCATGGTCATTTGTTACAGTGATGCTGGGACTCTCATGCCCCCCAACTCACCACCTGTCTCCATCTTGCCAGCTCCTACTCACCTCCCCAACCTCCCAGTGCTGGAGTACCACAGCTCGGAGGACAGGCCTCAGGGTTGGTGGCCTAAAGTGCCATCTCTGGCCAACATCAATCACAGTTCTCCCTCTCGCCTAAACCTCTCTTCCTGACCTGCAGACACAGATCTGACCAGCTTCCCAACGGACTATTACATGCCTGCGATCTGTCTGCAGCTCAGTGTGTCCTGCCTGACCCCTCTCTGACACCCGCCCCTTAGCCTTCTCCCTCCTTCCAGTCACTCAGGCCATGAGCCCGGAGTTGCCTTGACTCCTCTCTTTCACTCTCCACTTCCAACCCCATCGGCCAGAACAGGCCACGTGATTGGCAGGGCCCAGTGCAAGATGAACACACAGGGCCCCTTGTTTGTCAACGATTAAGAATGTCACGACGGCAGCAGCACGGTGTTAAACCCAGCATAGGCCAGGCTACTGCACAGGTCACATACCCCAGAGCTGGCCCTGCCATCGCCAGTCTGACTTCATGCGCATCAGAGTCTGCCCACTTCTCATGGCCACCTCTCAAAGCACCACAGTCCAAGACAGCAGGTCTGGGCAAGCTCCCCTGGTCTCCTTGTTTCTGCCCCTGACTCTGCAGACCACTACAGCCAGAGGAATCCTTTTGAGAACAAATTCCTATCCCACCTCTGCTGTGCTCGAGAGGCTGTGGTGTTTCCCAGCCTGCCCAAAGCCAAAGTCCTCACGCGTCTTGAGTCCCTGCATGACACCCTCACCCTACTCTCTGCCCTCGCACGGGCTGGCCCGGCCATGCTGGTCCCCTGGCTGCTCCCTCTACACTGCATCTGCCTCTGGCTGCCAGGTTCTGCTGCCTCCATGCTGTGGAGAGGCATCTGCAATAGCCCAGCAGCCAGACTGGTGTGGCTTTTAGTGCTTTCGTGTCCTGTACATGGATATCACTAGCAGTGGCCCATCTGTCCTGAAGAAGGAAGGCGCCTTCCCGCAGTCTGATCACATCAGACATAGGAAAGACTTCACAGGAAGGGGCCAGGGCTCTGCAGCAAGCCATTCCAACTCTGAGGGCCCCCTCATGGCCTCCCCCCGGGCCTCCCCCAGAAGCCACCAAAAGCCGCTCCCTCATACTCACCTCGGTGAAGGAAGGGGCTTGCGAACGAGGCCCTGGGGCCAGAGGTAGTACTGCACCGTGATGACCAGGGCCAGGTAGCAGGCAGCCAGGGTCCCTAGGATGCTAGTACACAGGCAGGGGCAGCGTCAGGTGCCTCGCAGTAGGGGACACAGGAGCATACACAGCTGGTCTGAACTCCAGCTCTGCCCTCGCCACCTGAGCCTCAGTCTCCTCATCTGTACAATGGGGGCAGTGGCAGCAAGGCCATTTCAGACAGGCTGCTCTCAGATCCTAGGTCAGGTGCGTCCACGTCCTGATGGCGCCTGGCACCCTTGGGGCTGATGACTCCAATAACTTTCCTCTCACCCACAGAAGCCTGCCAACTGCTCAGATTTGGCATCTAGGTCAGGACACTATCGTGGTTGGCCACACCGCAGGGGGAGGAGGACCCCCAGCTGGGCTGGATGTGACATGAGAGCCTTGCCAGGCTGAGGGCGTGGGGGTGGCCCTGGGTTTGCCGCCTGCCATTTCCAAGGTGAGAAGTCTGCTGTCGCTCATACACAACATGGAAAAGGCTGCGGCAAACTTGTGTGGACATCGCTGCCAGGCTTTATTTTCTCAAAAGTATACAGAAAGCTTTAGGCCACAAAATGAAAAAAAGGGTGTGTGCGCGTCCCTCTCCATGCCACTGTGCTGCTGTGCACATGTGTGCATGTGCGCGCATAGAGTCTGTAACAAATAACAAAACATGAGCAGCACGTGATGTTGTTACATGCAAAATTTTTTTTATCTATATTTTATGCCATGGGTACATATTTCTTGTGTAATTTTTTATTTTTTCCCCTTCTCCCAATGGGAAGGCCAATCCTGGCAGCCCATCCCATTCCCGACGGGCAGAAACCCTGACACAAAGGTGGGGCCGGGAAGCGTGGGCAGCCCTGTACCTCGTGTGTTTCTGGAAGGCGATCTCCCGTGGACAGGACAGCGGCAGGATGACCAGCACGCAGAGCAGAGGCAGGGTGAAGCGCGGGTCTGCGTACCAGGGCTGCGGGGCCGGCGGGGTGCTGGGCAGGAGGGAGTCGCGCACTGGTGGAGACAGGGAAGGAGCTGAGCCACAGAGCACAACGCAGCCACAGGGTTCCTGCCTGGCCCTCACACCCTGGGTGGAGTTGGACATAGGCACTAAGTCAGCCCCATGAGGCTAGGGACGAGGTGACAAGTGAGAAGGGGACCAGTCGTGCACCCCCACAAAGGAATTAATCTTGCCAAACAAATTCATTCAACAAACGTTCACCAAGCTCCTTCCTCGAGCCAGCAACCGATGGACAAACCATCTGTCCCATGGCACTTAGATTCCAGGGCCCAGAGTGGGATTTTGGCCACAATGCCAGTGTGAGCTGTTCTCTGTGGTTGCTGTGCAATAATCTACCCCAAAACCCAGTGGCTCAGAACCACTGCTTTATCAATGTCGTGAATTGTAGGGAAGAATTAGGGCAGGGCTGAGCCGGCCAATCCTGCTCCACGTGGGATCAGCTGAGGTCACTGGTGGGGGGCGTGTCTCGCTGCCAGCGGGGCTGGTCCGGATGGCCCTCGACAGCTCCACCCCACAACTTGTGCCTGGTGGGGATGCCTGGGCCCTCCCTGCAGTCTCGAGTCTCTCCACGTGGGCCCCTCGGCCGGCTAGTCCAACTTCTTCAATGGTAGCTAAGGGCTCCTAGAGATGAAGGCAGAAGCTGCTTGTCCTCTTAAAGGCCAGGCACGGAACTGGCACAGCATCTTCCACCACAACCTGCTGGACAAAGCCATCCCAGAGCCCGCCTGATTCAGGGACAGGGAATACAGACCCCACCAACTGCTCAGTGGAAGGAGAACCAAAGAATCTGGACCATTTTTATTCTGCCACAATAAGATGGATACTTTGGAGTTGATACAAGAGGCAGGACAGAGGGGAAGGGGGCGCACGGGGGAGTCGACAAGATGAGGAAGCGGGAACTATGCCGGGTGAAGTGCTCCACCGTCCCAGTGGAGGGGAAGGGGGCCGAGAAGTGAGAGCTGGGTCCTGGCCTGCTGGGTCGTTTGCACTGCTCTGTATAAACGATTCTCCATTCTCATCAAACACTCAACCAAGCCAGCCATGCAAAGAAGTAAATGCCTCTTGAGAGTAGCTTGTTTCTATTGAAATGACGCAAGGGGAGAGCTCCACAGCTGGGTTGTAAAATAGCTGCGTCCACGTGAGGAGGGCAGGGCAGGTGTTCTGGGCAGAGACCAAGAGAACGCATGTGCCTGCCTGAAGGTGCACAGAAATCTTGGTGGGTTTTAGGCCTCCATGTGTCATAGGGTGGGGTACAAGCCTTTCTTATCCATCTGGGTTGCCTGCAGCCAGGAAACCCCAGCTCTGACATCAGGACTACACCAGCTCCTTCCTAAACCCAAAAGTTCCAGGACATTCCCTGAGGTCCTCAGCGCCAATGACATGTGGTCATTTATACCTAACTCATGCAGTGACTCCTCCTAATTCCTCAATCTCTATCACACCCCTCCCAGGAGCCTGGGCTTGCCTACAGAAAGACACCTCCCCAAATACCTAACCAGAAACACACAAGCAATGCTCTCTCCATCCCGTCAATCTACCCAGAACTGGGGTGGCTCATAACCTAATCAGTACTCTTAACTAGTCAGGGAGCTCTACTACTGAGCGTCAGAATCCTTCTCAACACAGCAACATTACCAATTCACTTGAGTTGAAACTTGAGGTGAACGCTACCTGCCATGGGCAGGCAGGGTGTTTTTAAGCCCATTTACCCACCAGGAGGTTCACATAAACCAACTTTGGTGCTTTTTGGTATAAAATAGTGTTTCCCAAGACATGGCAGCCTTTCATTTTAACATCCCACAGCCAGGGGCCTTTTCATTTATAGGTCAAGAGACGGAGAGAATAAACAAACAGCAAAATGGTACCCTAAATCCACCCCCACAAATCATTACATTCCAATTAAAAGTCTAAACATTCCAATAAAAAGGCTGAGATCGTCAAGATGGAAAAAAAGCAAGACCCAAACTATTTGCTGTCTATGAGAAATGCATTTTAAAATCCCAAGCCAGTTAGGTCAAAAGTAAAAGAAGGGGAAAGAGAATTATACAAGTACTAATCTTAAGGAAGCTGGAGTGGCTATATTAGTAACAGAGAAGTTAGATTTAATGTCAGAGATGAAGAGGAATAAGTCATGATAATAAAAGGCTATACCTAATCACATAGCTTGAAAAACCATGACGGAGAGACTGACAGAATTAAAGGGAGAAATAGTAAAATCTGGGCTGGCCAGTTAGCTCGGCTGGTTAGAGCACAGCCTTGTAACACCAAGGTCATGGGTTCGGATCCCCATACCAGAGAGCTGCCCCCTCCAAAAAAATAAATAAATAAAAGGGAGAAATAGTCAAATCTGCAATCACAGCTGGAGCTTTTAATACCTTTCTCTTAGAAATTGATAGGCTAACTAGACCAAAAAAAAAAAAAAATCAGTAAGGCTGCTGTAGAAGATCTGAACAAAGCTGCCGATCACCTTGACCTACAGGACACTCCTAGCACACTGCACCAACAACTGCAGCCTACACATCCTTTAAGAGCACATGGAATGCTTGCCAAGACTGACCACGTGCTGGGCCACAGAGCAAGTCTCAACAGATTTCAAAAGATTGAAATTACACAGACTATGTTCTCTGACCATGATGCCATTAAGGCAGAAACCATACGGGGATCTAGAAAACTCCAAACAATTTGAAATTAACACAATTCTAAACATCCCAGAGTCAAAGAAGAAACCATAGCAAAAATCGGCAAATATTTTGGATGGAATGAAAATGGAACACACTAGTATCAAAGCTGGTAAGACACAGCTAAGGCAGTGCTTGGAGGGCAAGTCACGGTGGGGGCTGAGAGTCTTAGCCGTCCCACAATTACAGGTTTTACTGGTTCTTTCCCAATAGGGTCTTCTTGCCGGTAGCCCCATTTCCTCATCTGTGAAATGGGTGTCTCCCCTACATGTCCCAGCTGTGGCCATGGACTCTGTATGCTCCACCACTCTCATCGTGCTGGTGACTGTCAATTCCTAGTCTCCCTTCCCCACCATGATACGGGCTCGGGCGTGGCCTCCACCTCTGCTGTCCCCCCAGGGCCCAGGCCGGTGCCTTATATCCTACTCAACTGGGGGACCCAGGAGCCATTACGAGCTCCACACCCTGGGCCACCCCAATTCCAGTGAAGGTACTTACGCTTCTCCAGCTGGTCCCCGATCACCCTGAGGAAGGCCACGGAGATCATGAGCAGGTTGACGATGAAGCAGGCCTCGCACAGCTTCCCGATAGTGGGGCCACAGAGCCCTCCGACAACGCCCTGGTAAGTGGTCTGGCTGCTGACGGAGGCGGCATAGCCCAGGATAACCAGCCCGCTGACCAGGAAGACCAAGGAGACCTGCGGGGCAGGACCGTGGAGCTGGGGCATGCCCATAGCCCTGCGCGTGGCCTCTCGTCTGCAGAGGCCAGAGCTGCTGACAGTCTGAGGGTCAGCACCATATGTGCCACCAGCCCCTCTCCTGCCCTGAAATCACAGCAGCGGAGCAGGTGGAGTCTGGCACCTGCTCTGGCTCCAAGTCTGTGAATCTGGGATTCTAATTCCATTCTGCCCCAGTGGGACAAATAAGACATCAGAAACCCAGAGGGTTTAAATTACTGTCCTAAAATCGCCTGGGCTGTGGGTAGAGAGGCAGCAAGCATGGTAGTTAGCAACCCGAGGTGGAGCAGGTGGAGCCAGGTTCAGATCCTAACGGCTGCTCTCCTGCAGCATGGCACGAGGCAAACCAGACCATCAACCTCTGTTTTTCCATCTGTACAATGGGGACGGCACTGCCTGCCCTCCAGGACTGCAGAGCGTGGGGTGCACTGGCTCAGCGCCCGGCATGCAGCAGTGCTCAGGAAACGGTCCTTACTCTCCATCCTCCCTCTACTTCATTTTAAACATTCTTCCCAACACTTATTGTGAACAATTTTCAGATACACAGGAGAGCTGAAAGAATTTTACAGTGAACACCCCTGTAGCCACCGCCCCTCGGGTCTGCCACAAGCAGGCTGCTGCGCTTGCTTGATTACATCTCATCCGCTGCCCACGCCTCTGTGCGGCTACCCTCCACCTTAACTTTGGGAAGCATTTGGAAGCAAGTTGCAGATATCAGTATACTTCCCGCTGAAGACTCAGGCACACTTATCCTTCATGAGAGCTTGATGGATGTTTATAGTCCTTTTCTCTCCTGTGGGTTAAAATTTGCATATAATGAAATGCACAGGATCGTGTATCACTGGAAGAGGTACAACACACGACATGTGCACCCCAAGTCTCCATCAGCAGACAGAACATCCTACACCCCTGGACAGTCAGCGCAGGCCCCTTCCCTGTCAATTTCTGCCTCCACCTCATCCCCAGAAGAAATCACTGATCTAATATTTTTCTACTCATATATACTTGCATATCTGGCTTCTTGTAGTCAGCATAATGTGTGTGAAATTCATCTATAATGTGTGCATCAGAACTTTATTCCTGTTTTTGCTGAGTGACAGTCTATTGTTTGAATAGATCACAAGTTGTTTATTCCACATCCTAAACCCCAGAACCTGTGAATGTGACTTATTGAAAAGTTTTTGCAGATGTCAATCATGAACACGTAGTTAAATGAAAATGGGTCTTTGCCGATGTAATTAAGGATCTCAATATGAGGTCATCTTGGATCATCCTGATGAGCCCTAAGTCCAATGACAAGTGTGCTTACAGAGACAGAGAGCAGGAGGCAGACTGGAGTGATGCAGCCACAAACCAAGGAATGCCTGGGGCCACCAGACGCTGAAAGAGTCTTCAGAGGGAGAGTAGCCTGCTGACACCTGATTTCAGACTTCTGGCCTCCAGAACTGTGCAAATGCATTTCTGTTGTTTTAAGCCCTCTATTTTGTGGTAATTTGTTATAGCAGCCACAGGAAACAGACACCTGCAACTATACAATATGGTGGGGTTCCCCAACGTCTCTCTCACCCACCAGACTCTAAGCTCCGTGAAGACCGGCCCATGTCTCTTTTTGCCTACTATTTAGCCCCACAGGAGTTCCTACGCACAAAGTTTAAGGAGCGGGATCCACATCTCTCTGCCTCACAGCCCTTCTGGCTGCCCTGAGCCCCAGCCCCATCTACTGAGTCATGAACCCTTGTCTGACTTCCCATTAGGACAAAGCTTCATGAGGACAGGGACCACACTGTCCCTTATTCATCCAACACTAGGCACAGGGCAGGTGCTCAGCCACCACCACGGGTGGCGTGGGTTATACCAGACAATGCACAAAGCGGGCACTGGTAGTTTTTAGAGGTATGTGAAGGGCCCTGTGTCCCACAAACCATTAGAACTCGGCCATTATCAGCTGGCTGCCATAAAACACATTTGAGATAATGCCTGTCAAAGAGCTTACCACAAAATACCCTCATTCCTGCCAGCCCTGGGGAAAGAATCAGAAAATTAAATGAAGCTGCACTCATTAGTGGCTCTTCTCCTCTAGGGATGCTCAGCCTCAGGACTTTGGATGGGATGCAAGCTGAACACCTCTGACACTATGCGAGGCCTGGCCCAGCTAGGAGGTACAGCCAGTATCAGGTGCCATCTGCATGTCGGATTTCAGCTCTAGTTATCAAGCTGAGACCAGCAGTCAAGAAAGATAGACTCGGCAGGCAGGACGCTCGGAGACAGCTCCTCCCTGCTGCAGTGCCCCCAACTCTGCATGCCCAGCTACCCATCAGCCCTGACCAGCAACCGTGGACGGTGTTCTCCACCCAGGGCTACAGTGGGATTATCATCTCCCATCACTGGCTGAGTGGGATAGAAAATAAAATCCCCAAGGTATAGTTTATGAGACATGCAGCCCTGCAGAAACAATGCTGAGGGTCCCACCCAGAAAAGCCACAGTAATCTCCTACCTGCCCCAGGAGGCCCCCTGACATGCTTCCTGCAGACTCACCAGCTCCATGAGCAAGGCGGGGACCACCCCACCCGCCTTGTAGAAGGCCCAGGGAAAGTTGAGCAGGCCGGCCCCCAGTGCGGACTTCAGGAGGATGAAGATGGCACCCAGAGAGGACAAACTGGGGGTGGCAGCAGGGAGGGGCTTTTCTGGAAGGCCTCTGCTTTCTTGGGTCTGTCCCTCCATGGCTAGAGGCAGCAGGTGCAGGGGGGAGGGGGAGAGAAAGGGCAGTCTTGGTCACACATCCTTCGCTGTTTTTCAAGTTCAAGGTATCACTGCTGAGATCCAACAGGTTTGTTTCCCCAGTTCAGTAAGAGCCAACGTGTCTCCCTCTCCCTTGGCCTCGGCTTCCCCTTTCCAAAGCACTGTGCATTCATTTGCCCCATGACTTCTGGTCTGCCTCCTCCCCCCTCTAACTTTCTACCCCACTTATTCTCACTCCTGTCCTGTCTCCCACTCAACTTCAAGGTGACCATGACCCCTTCCTCCAACCCTCGCTCCCAAACCTCCAACCTCCCCCTCCCAAACCTCCAACCTCCCCCTCCCATCGATGCTCTCCCCCTTCCATCGCCACCCACCCCCTCTGCTTCCAGCCAAACTTCACACACAGTGTCCACACCCCTTGTCCTTACCATCAAATTGAAACTTTAAGGTGCGAGGCAATCCTCAGCCATCAGGGAAGAGGACTCAGGCTCACTCAAGGTGGTTTGGCTGCATTTTGGGGGCCTTGAGGGGTGGAAGAAGGAAGATTCTAGCTCTGCCAGGAGTGGGTAGATGAGTCATTAATTAAGGAAAGGTCAGCTCTGAAAACCTAGGGGGACAGGGACAAGCAGTCAGGGCCATCTGTCCCAAGAACTTGGAGCTTCTGAGATTTCTGACCCGAGCAAGAAAATCTTAAGACTCCCCCGCCCTGCCAGCCCCTCCCCAGGGGTGGGGCTTTCTGAGCTGCTCTGGAGGGCTAGAGGGAGCCCAGCTAGGCATGATCGGGGGTCAGGCACGCACCTGATCTCACCAGTGCCCTGTGGCCGGTTTCCTCAGTGCCTCTGCCCTCAGATGCCTCTCTGAGGGGCCCAGTCTGAGGGAGGGAGGTCAGTTTGTGCTGGCTGGCAGTGTGGGAGCTCCCTGAGCTCAGTTTCCTCATCTGCACAAAGTGGATCACAGTCAGCAGGTGCAGGATCAGAGGGACCTTTCTCCATCCAACTCCAACCTGCGTTCGTCTAACTCTTCCCCTGCACACCGTCCACCTGGCGATCTTGCGAAAATGCAAGTTCCGACACCTTACACCATGGGTAGAGCCCGAGTTTCCACATTTCTAACAAGCTCTGGGGTGGGCTGCTGCTGCTGGTCCCCGGACCACACTTTAAGAAGATAGACCCTCTCCCCAAACTGACACGTGATCAGCTAAGATGGCAGAATATGGGATATGGCCCCACTCCAGAAAATGCAGCACACAGAGGTCAAACCTCGAATCTGAACCTGTTTACTCCTGAAACCCAGGCTCCCTCTCATCCCTCTTCTCAAACTTCAGTTTGCAACAGAATCCCCTGGAGGGCTTGTTAAAATATGGATTGCCAGGTCCCATCCCAGGGTTTCTGATTCAGTGGGTCTGGGGTGGGGCCTAAGAATCTGCATTTCTAACCAGTTCCCAGGAGATGCTGCTGCTGCTCTGGAACCCCCTTTGAGAACCACTGCTTTAAGTTAAACATCTTGGCGGTCAAGAGCAGCAACTCAATCAGTCCTTATCTGTAGGACACCAGATCAGCCCAAAAGGCTTTTTTTCTCAATGTGGTTTCAAACAGTCTCAACCCCTGACTTGAGTGACCTCCTGACGGGAAGACTCATTTATACCTTTGTGGCTCCACACAGCAGGTGCTCAATAACTCCCTGACCATCTGAGTGACAGTGTCTCAGCATGGATGCATGAAAAGGGACCTGGGACTGTGGCCAGGAGCTCGGAGCTGGACGATATCTTGCATGGCATTCACATGCCATCACATAAATGTGCTGAGAACCGTACCGATTCTCAAGGGGGCGTCCCCACCGTCTCTATCACACAGAGCAGGAACTGGGCTCAGGCAGGTTGAGCAAGTGGCTCGGAATGTCACTGCTGGCAAGTAACAAGAAAGATCGGGACTCGCCCTGCACTGTCTCATCTCAAATGCTGTGCAGTCATGCTGCCTTCCTGCCCCCACACTGACTCCGACAGCGCCCAGGCTGGGAAGTACCAAATGGATGGATGGATGGGTGGATGGATGGATGGATGGATGGATGGATGGATGGATGGATGGATGAATTGGATACACAGACTCCAGAAAAGAGACAAGAAGGAAAGTCGCTTGGTTTCTCCCCTGGATTAATTAAGTCCCTGTGGCTGCTGTAACAAAGTGCCACAAACTTGGTATTTTTGGACACAGAAATTCATTCTCTCATGGGTTTGGAGGCCAGAAGTCTGAGATCAAGGTACAGGCAGGACCATGCTCCCCTTGAAGGCTCGAGGTGGGGATCCTTCCTGCCTCTTCCAGTTCTTGCTGGCTCCAGGTGTTCCTTGGCTTGTGGCCACATCACTCCAGTCTCCGCCTCTGTCTTCACATGGCCTTCTTTGTGTCTTCTCTTTTTATGAGGACACTTGTCATTGGATTTAGGGCCCACCTGGATAATCCAGGATGATCTCATCTTGAGATGCTTGACTTAATTACATTTGCAAAGACCCTTTTTCCAGATAAGATCACATTCACAGACATGTGAATTTATTTCCAGATAAGATCACATCCAGGGTAGGGCAAAGGCGTGGTATCTATTGGGGGTCACCATTCAGCCGACTACACCCCTGGTACCTGGGATCTCATGGTATTCTCAATCAACCAGTCACTCAACAAACACTGGTTTATTGAGCACCTAACATGTGCCAGGCCCTGGGGATTCAGGAGTGAAAGAGGAGGCCACTGCTCTGGAGGAGGAAACAGTTCCACAGGGAGACGAAGCAACCCTGGCCCAATGGGAGAAGGATGGGCCACGAGACTGGAGGGGAATCTGGAGGGGCTTCCTGGAGAAGGTGCAGGGGGCTGAGTAGATGTCTAGGCACGTGGAGGGCTGGGGGGACATCCTGGGAAGTGGGCACTCCCTGTGTGTGGAGGCTCAGCCAGGGAACAAGCCAGTGCTCCAGGAAGGCCTGCAGTGGTCTGGGGTCTGGGGTGAGCTGGGAAAGGCCCTTCTTGCAACACCAGGGGATTAAACTGCATGTCCTCCTCACTGGAGTGAGGTCATTAAACCTTGTGAAGGTGGCACTGGACACAGTGTGGAGGGCAGGTACTGCTTGTGGGGGCTGCAGCAGGTAAGGCCAGTTCAATAGCCCAGGCTGGGGGGGAAGGGTCCACACACAGTGTCACACATCTCTCCCAGGCCTTCCACTGAGCCCCCCGTCATTCACTCTTTCCCCCAAATCCAGCCTCCTGAGCACAGTGAGAAAGAAGATAAAGAGCCCTTCATTAGCGGCTGGGGGCTTTGTACTTCTTAATCTTGGCTCTGGGGGCTTAGGGGCACTTCCCTGTCCCTGCCGCTGGGTCTCTCATTAGCTGCCCATTAATGTGCATGACTTAGAAATTGGCCACTGGGCTGTGAAATTCCAAGCAATGGGGAAAACCTCTTAATTCCGAGGGGCTTTGATATCCACTCTCTGCTGGCATCACAGGCTGCGTGACCTTTCCTGAGCTGTGCAGGGGTGCCCTGCTGGGCCCCATCTGCAGCCGCAGGCGGGCAGGCGGCCCCCCTCGGCTCAGCCTGGCCCTGCCAGCAGGCTGGTACCGGCTCTGGCACAGAAGGAATACTGGGGAGGACAAAGGTGCCCTTGTGGGTGACGTGGGTAGTGGCTCAGTACACACCTGCTTGGGAATAGCCGGCACGTGGGAGCCGTTCTCCCTCCTGCATTTCAGGGGCTCACGGCCCTGCTAGGGGAGCCCCCATCCCACCAAGGGGGTTCCTGTGGATCCCTCCTTTCCTTCCCCACAGAGCCTGTGTCAGGTGACAGGCAAGATACTGCCACAACAAAGTGACCTCAGCTTGTGTCCCCGGACCTCTGTGCTAACACCCATTAGAAAATTCCAGAGGATGCACTGGCTCTAGGATCTCGGGTCACCTGTGACATGGGATGGCAGAAGTGGCTACTTTCTAGACTGTCAGGAGGAGCCAGTGCAAAGTGCTGGAGGTGCAGAAGTGAGCAGCGTGTCACTATTACTGTTGAGGTAAGATCATGTGTCATGGTCCATAACCTCCACTTCTGTGTTTTTACCTCGGCCTGACTTGGAGCTTCCAGAATGGTGTCCAGAACCCTAGCTACACAAGAACCACTGAGGAACTCTCCCAACTCCTACACCTGTGCCTCGGGCTTCAGATTAAACGGGTCTGGTGCGGGGCAGCAGAATTCTACAAAGCTCTAGCGTGCTGCGAGGGCACAGAAGCGCAGTTCTGAGCCAGAGGGTGTCTGACCTCTGTCCCCAGGCCAGCAGCCCCTCACTTCTCTGCAGCCTTCAGCCCCAGCTGGCCTGCAGAAGCCTGCTTAATAAATGCTGGGGATCCAGGATGCTGCAGGAGTGAAGCCTCGACGCTCTCAGGCGGCAGGAACTCACGGACTTTGAAGGGCAGCACCCCCTGCAGCCCTTAACCAGGCTCAAAGTCCTCCCACGAGGAACATATGACACCGTGGGGACAGGGAAACCCAGTGCAGTCAGCTGAATGATGGCCCCAAAGATGTCCTCGTCCTAATCTACAGATCTTGTAAATACATGATCTCACATGGCAAAAGGGACTTAGCAGGTGAGATTAAGATCTTGAGAGAGGGAGGTGAGCTGGGGTTAACCAGGTGGGCCCTAAATAGAATCAGTGTCCTTATGACTAGGACGCAGGAGGGGTCAGGGTCAGAGGTCATAGAGGAGACGGTGACGTGAAGACAGAAGCAGAGACTGCAGTGGCGTGCTCGGGAGATGGAGAAAGGGGCCAAGGCCAAGCAACGCGGGCATCTGCTCTCAGGGTTGCCCTGGCTCAGAACTCAGGATGCCAGTGTATTCATTTCCTGTTGCTGCTGGAACAAGTTACCACAGATTTAGTGGCTCAGAAAAACACATTTATTCTACAGTTCTGGAGGTTGGAAGTACAGAATCAATCTGGGTAAAAACAAAGGAGTCAGCAGGGCT